ATGAGGCTTTGATACAGTGAAAGTCGATAGGCCCAAACATTTTCTTTCATATGTCACACACTGTAAATATGTAAAGGTTTTTTTTTTGTTTTGTTACTTTGATGGTGAAAATTGTACCATGTGAAAGGTCAGGGTGTGATGATTTTGAATAGGTGCAGAAAAATATAATAATTGTCTTGTTCTTTTCTGCTCCTTTCCTTCATGCAAATGTATAAAATGTATATTGTATTTATTATTATGTGAACATGTGAACAAAGCATTTTCATGAAAGGAACAAATAAATAAATACAATACACACTGTAATTGTAATCATAAGGCTCTTTGACACTGTTAAACAACAAGAACGCTATGAAATCATCTGTCTATCAAATAGCTATTAGTGTTCATAGAGCTTCAAATGATTACTATTGGAAGACCACAGGGTTCAATTCTACATCAGTGAGCCCCAACCCTGCCAAGGACCAGTTTGTCAGACAATATTTTCATGGAACAGTTGCAATCCAATGTATTTTCCTTAATTCTAGTATAATTTATCATCTGTAGAAGGTGTTTTGGAGAGAGCGCAGACATGAATGATATGTGCCCATTTATCTAGATAATTTATTAAAAGAGACGTGTATATGTGCTCTGTCCGGGGACACCTGTGTGGTCCTCGCTTCTCCAGTCCTTGGTTTGAGATGAAACTCCCCATACTTTTGTCTTTGCTCCTCTGCCTGTTGTTATGGATAACTCCCATGTGCAGATTATTGAGTTTTTTGGTTTAACTCTGTCTAATGACCTGAAATTGGACAAAAACATTTCCCTACAGGGACAATAAAGTACAACTTAAATCATTTTCTTTTTGGTTCATATTGACTCCACACGCTTGGATAAACTTCAAGCTGCTTGTGGCAGCGTACTTAATTGTTCAAGCCATAATGGAATTGCAATGCAGTGACCTTGTGTGAAACCTTCATAATAACCCTGTCTACATTACCATTATTGCTGAATACTGCCTGAAATTATGATGAAACTGTAAACTGTGGAATCTGGTATTCCAAATGTATTCCAAACTTTTGACAACCAACAATTTAGGCCTAATTACTGTCTTACTGACACGTCTTGTTTCACGTCTTAGTTTTCCCGCAAACCTAACCAATAATCCAGCCTATTTTGATATTTATTTATAAAAGAGGGGACAAAGCGCCTTCGTAATAAAATTGTCCTTTATAATCAGCTTGAATGTGATTAAATGTTTTCATAGATTTTTGAATGAAAACCCTGTTCTCTCTGATTGAACACAGTGTTATCATGTCGGCTCTGAAGCCAATGAGTGCAACCTTTAGCAACAGTTTAGAGAAGGAGCTAAAATCAATGTCCTTCGGTTGTGCCGTTAGACCTGAGGCTTTGACACAGTGGGAGTGAAATGACCGGTAATTACAGCACAACAGCAGGACGAGAAGGCAAAATTGTTCAGTGCAACATGTGCTGCACCTTCATATAAAACTAATGAAGAGTTAATCCAATCAAGCAGCAAGCAGGTCCTCCACTTCCTGAGTCTGTGCTTGTTGCCAAGCAACATGCTGCCTTGGTAAATCGAACAAAAAAATTAAACACAAAAATATTATATTTAACATATGTATTCAAAAGGTTTAGCCCAATCTTTTCAAACTTTAGCCTCCTCCTGTTGAGAACAGAAGCCCTTTAGTCTGCTTCTTGTTCCCATGCTGTTAATGAAATCAGAAAAACAATGTCAGTAGTGTCCGCATGACCAGACCACCAAGGCCAACACACTGTATTTTCACTAATATTCAAGAATGAATTTTTTTAGACGGGAATCTACATCTGGCTATTTGACCTCATTAATCTATGAGAGCATGTAATCACTTTGTCAAGGCATAATTTTCAAGTCATGTAAAAAGGGAATGTTTTTTTTTTTTTGCTCAAGCTTCTATGATACTTTTCATGTCATAGCCTTCATTTCCTGTTTGTTTGTCTGTTTATTCATTTGTTTGTTTGTTTGTCTGTTTATTCATTTGTTTGTTTGTTTGTCTGTTTATTCTTTTGTTTGTTTGTATGTTGCAAATCCCCTTGCAGTCAAGCTGGCGCTTTACTTCCAGGGGTCCCAGTTAATTTCACTGAGCGCAGTCATTTTAATTTTTAATAGTGTCGTTTTTTTGTGTGTGTTTTTTACAATATTGTTAGTAGTTCCATTTTGTATAAAGATGTGCTTTGACAAGAAGAACCGTTCTTGTTCTTGTACCTCTACCAAGCAGAGAGGAACAGACTGCATCAGTAACAAAACTCTGACGCAATAATATACTTGAACCTGGCTCATTTAATTCTAATTTCCTGGGGACAATTCAAAATGATAATAAATAAAAAAATAAGACAACATTAAGAGCAACAGCATTTCATAATTCAGCTGTCTGAGATTGTTCAGTTCTGTATGCAGACAGGAAATTAAAAAGGAGTAAGTAGGTCAGGCACAACGACTATCGAGTATGCAGACATATCTGAAATGTTTTATCAAAAAATATGACAAATACTTCTCTAGCGATAGCTTTTATCAAGAATGACGATGAAAGGCAGTAGCTACATGATCAGATCTGCACTGAAGACTGAGGAGTCTCTCTTCCTCAGGGTTTTATTTTTGGAATTGTATCTCATGACCAGGTCCATGCCACGTGGAGAACTGCCTGCAGAAAATCTTGAGGACAATTAATAATGACAGAAATGCATCGGTTTCATATAGCCTTTTTTGGACACTTCACATGGTATGATTCACGTGATATGAATTATACCATGTAGTGATATGCTACAACTGTTGCCACAGCTGCCCTCGGGCAGCCTGACAGAAGTGAGGCAACCAGTTGAATAGGATAAAAAACAACGTTCCACTTGAAACTGGAGTAACATCATATAATATATTATTCAATGACCTATGTCAAATATCTTTGGGGTCTTAATCTTAAATATCTTTAACAGCATGGAATTATTATTGCATACCTTTAATAGTAATACACAATTAAATGCCACTGAACTTTTCAAAAAAAACGGTTAGCTAGTGAGCAGGAATGAATTGGTGAGTTTGGTTTGTTCCCAGTACTGAATGTGTTCTTTCTTTTTAACTGGGTTTAACTTACTTACTTAGCTTTAACTAACAAATATGTATAGTTTAAAATGATTTAAACCAGCGCTTATTTTGAATAGATGAGTGTACGATTCAATCAATAACTTGATATTATTAGAATAGAATACATGTGGCTTAAACTTTTCACTGTATATACGACAGCGTCATCTGGTGGCCATAGTCTGTATTACAGCTTGTTCTTTTCTATGAACCATGTACTGTAAACTTGCTGAACGCACCTTCATGGATCTGGTATATGCAGCTTCATATGTTCTCCGCTAGAGGTCTTTTACTACTTTTGTCGAAATTATAGATTTGGAGATGAAACCGAATATTAAGGCCATCTGTAACTGACAGCTCATCATTGAGATCATGGAACAGTTTAGCTCTTGTGCTGTACTTCATTCTCCAAACTCTGTTTTTTCTGGTAATATTGCTTCAAATAAGCTTAATCATAAAGATCAAATGTAAGAATGTGAATGTGGGGGAATAATCTTTAAAAACATATTTCAGCTCAGTTCTTATTATTTTTTTTAATTATTGGATTAATTATATCATTTGCCACGAGAGATATACAAATCTGTTTTCCAATTCAACATTTGTGTAAATACATTGACAGATGTATTTTATCTAGCACTTTGTGGCTGTCTCCTTGTCTTAAGTGAAGTTCACTATGCAGATCATTTAAAATTATATTTTGCAAACACAGGTGACAAAGGCACAAAAGGTAAAGTGAATGTTAGCACGTGCATCAGTAGCATGACAGTTTAAGCCCAGTTCATTCATGGACTAAGGTCAGTCTATGTTTTTCCACATAAGCGTTAAAGTAAACAGAAAAGATCCTGTACAACCAAAAGGGGAAAAGCATCCGTGACGAGAGCTCCTGCTCTAGGCAAGGCAAGGCAAGTTTATTTGTCTAGCACAATTCATACACAAGGCAACTCAAATTGCTGAACAAAATAATATAGCATTAAAATCATAAATAATCACAGTACATTGAAAAGAAAGATAAAAATATAAAACATAAAATCCCTCAGTTGTATGCACAGCCAAACAGAACTGTTTTCAACCTTGTTTTAAACATTGTCAGAGAGGAGGCCTGTCTCACATCTTCAGAAAGATTGTTCCAGATTTCAGCAGCATGAATCTGAAAAGCAGCCTCCCCATGTTTAGTTCTGACTCTGGGCACTAACAGGAGTCCAGTCCCTGTGCTCCTCAGAGTCCGGGCTGGTTCATATGGGACTAACATGTCTACTAGCATGTCAACTAATATATTTTGGTGCGAGGCCATGGAGAGACTTGTACACAAGCAGAGCTGTTTTAAAGTCTATTCTCTGAGCCACAGGAAGCCAGTGCAGAGACCTGAGGACCGGACAAATATGGTCGTACTTCCTGGTTCTAGTCAGGACTCGAGCTGCTGCATTTTGAATGTACTGCAGCTGTTTTACAGCCTGTTTGGACAGACCTGTGAGCAGGCCATTGCAGTAGTCTAACCTACTGGAGACAAATGCATGGATAAGAATCTCCAAGTCTGCTTTAGACACTATGTTTTTGATCCTGGCAATGTTTTTTAGGTGGTAAAAAGCTGCTGATGTTACTGATTTGATGTGGCTGAATCCAGTATTACCCCTAGATTTCTGACCTTGTTTGAAGGTTTTAGGGAGAAAGACTGTAGGTGACAGATGACGCTCTCTCTTTGTTTCTGGGGACAAAAGACAATCATTTCAGTTTTGTCTGCGTTTAGCTGAACAAAGTTGTTTTGCATCCACTCACTGATCTGTTGGATACAGTGAAGGAGTGAGTCCACTGCTCTTGGTGAATGTGAAAACATATGTTTTGTCTCAATGCTTAAAGTCTATGGCTTGTTCCAGTAACAGCAGAGAGGTGCTCACTGGGCTTTCCTCATGCGGTCAGAGTCGGACGCTCTGTGGTTGGTGAAATTGTTCAGGACACAACTGTTGGTCAGAACAGAGAGTTTGGAGTTGAGTCTCTCTTTGTCCCAACAGCAGCTTGCGTCCTGTTCATGTTCCTCTTCTTTATCTTCATCTTCAACTTCACTTTCGTCATCACTGCGCTCGTCCTTTTCCATCTGAAATCAAACAGAGACATGTTTCTGCTGACTATCTCCACCTTAGCAGTTCAACCGTCTAATATAAATATGTATGTTTTTAAAATGTTTTCACCATCTTCTAAACATTCTGCTTGTAACTATTTCAAGAGCGATGCAATTGATTTTAGTTTTAAAAGGCCAATAGACTATTGCTAAATATAATAAAATGAGTGAGTTCACAGTAAAATGTCAATTAAAGTATCTGGACTTTAAAAGGTCATAATCATACTATCATGGATTGGAAAAAGATTTCAAACACAGATATATCGAAGAGATAGTGTGGGTAAATTCAAACAAAACACATTTTTGGTGAGAAAAAAAATGATGGTCTGGTTTCACATTTTTTGGTTGACTATATGAAAGTAATCACTTTGTTTCTACTCTGTGTAAAAAAAAATATTAATCCAATGTGGACATCTGAAAATAATGTAACAATATTCCCTCGTGTGAGGGTCTGAGACCCGTGGGGTAGGGTGTGTGCAGTTCTGACTTGGGGCTTTGGTGCGTTGCTGGTTGTTGCTGCCCTGGTGCCTGCTGTGACAGGATTGGCTCGGGTCACTGTGCCGCTTGTTGCCGTGTTGTTGTGCATTACTTTGCTACTGGCTCCGGACACACGGGTGTAAGTGTGATGTGCAGGGGTGGGAATTTATAAGATTTTTTTCTTCCTCCCACTCCTTTTCGGGTTTGAATGATGTCAACATTGTAACAAGTAACTGTAAATGAGGTACATGAACTCGAAGTAAATAAACACTCAACTCACTCAACAAACTTCTGTACCTCATTGCGTCTAATCATCACGTCCGTTACAAAAAATAAAAAGAGCCGCTATAGGAAACGTAACTAAATTACGAAACAGTTATATAGCAACTTCTGATGGACAGAGGATGTATTTCGATACATGAAAAACATCATGTGTCGTCTGATTTGGCCTTCTGTCACACTTTAAAGGTAAAGGTGCACTATTAATCCTCGTAGGGCAATTCAATCCTCTGCATTCAACCCATCTTGATTGAAGTCGTCGCCGTAGTAACAGCGCTCGGGAACCCATCTCCAGATGTTGATGCTCGGCTTGGTCAGGACTACCAGAGATGGAGGATTTAAGCTAATGAGCATGTTTTTAGTGGTAGGGGAAACCAAAGTACCCGGAGGAAACCTACACAGGCACGGGGAGAACATGCAAACTCCACTCAGAAAGACCCTGTTCCGACCGGGATTCGAACCCAGGACCTTCTTGCTGAGAGGCGAGAGTGCTAGCCACTCAGCCACCATGCCGTGTGAAAAAGCCCTTTAGTGTGAAAAAGCCTAATATATATACGCTAAAATTCACAATAATAGTTAAAAATAGCCACATTGTAAATAATTAAAAAGCTACAATTCTTCAGGGTGAAATTTCACTTAATATTAAAGAATATCAAATAAATAAATAATTTTCTCACCTTGCCTTGGTGGAATTTATAGATCATTCTTAAGATCAAACCAGCCCAGAATAAATGAAGAGCCTGCAGCACCATCAGCAGCACGTTGAAGAAGTAGTATCCAAAGAAGGGCTCGAACACCTCCATGGACAGAACCAAGGTGGTGTGGATGATCCTGGGTTGAGAAAGACACATCACATGGGAACGAATCTAACTCTTTTGAGCTTGAAATACACCAAATCCTCTTACTTGCTTGGGAAAATAACAAGGCGAGTGATGAGAAAAACAGCAGAAAACACAACGAAAAGAGAGTCGCATGTTTTTCTCCAGCCGGTGCCATAGTTGAACATCTTTGCAGACTGTAAGAAAAAAATAAATCAGTGGACATAGAAACGTGGACAGTATGCATTTCTTTCAAGTGGAATCTGGTGCATTTTGGGCTAACGTCGCTTCATTTGTGGAAATTCACTGATGCATTTTGTGGACAATTCACCTGTTATACCAGTCCATGCTCAACACACTGCAAAAATGTATTCAAAATCATCGTGTTTGTTGCAAGTTTGCTGTGCTGTTCTGTTTTTTTAGTTCAAGTTTTATATCTAAGTTGTTTTGTGAGGGAATTGTAATATATGTAACAATAAATGTAAGATGATTAAGGTTTTATTGACACATTTACCGATAGCTAAGAAACATAGCGGCTTCTTATACTGTATATTTTGTATGCTCCCTGTGTGCTCTTACTACTGTCCTATATTTCCCGACTGTGGGACAAAAAAAGTATCTTGTATCTATCTTACATTATTATCATATGGTATAGGTGTAGTGTGATATTTCTACTTCTACTTTTTTACTGTAACTTTATTCCACTGCCACAGACTAAAATTTACCTCAATTATTGCACCAGATAAAGCCGAAAGCAGAGCAAAGAGCCATAGGATGTGTATTCAGTGTTTTTTGCAGCAAATAGATACAGGTTTTGTTGCCTCCAGCTATGAATCCCCCTTTGAGTTATTTCTCTCACGGCCATAGCAGACTAAAACTGTGTCTGTATATTAATTTTTTCAAACGAATCAGAACAACTTTTAACCTCACCTCCAGTAAGATATCCGAGGAGTCGTGCAGGAGCATGACCAAAGTCCCAATGCGAATATAGTTGGCGCAGTAAGAGAAACTGAGCAGGAAGATTGTGGCCAAATGGTGAATCACTTGTTCCCTGAAATCCTACAGCAAACATTAGGACACAACATTACAAAACATGTATTACTTACAGAAATGTTGCAAAGAAAATAATGAAAGGTGTGATTTCAAAATGTTATACCTTCCTTTTGACATCCACAGAGATCCTGAGAAGAAGCGATTCATAAAACCCCAGTTCCAGCATGTAGTACCAATAATGAGTACTTTCCATGGGCTAAAGATAAAAACAGCAACACTTTGAATAAGAATAAAGTGCATATTCTGTAGATAACACTGGTGTAATTATCAAGTAACCAAGAGGAAATTCATAATAAATAGATAAAAACGTTTTTTTTAATAAAGATTGAAAAATAAGTCAAAAATAACAGCAAGTAAAAAAAAAAAACAGGAAATTACTTATGATTTGATGTATCTATGAAAGGCTGTCCATAATCTTACTGTTTTTCAAATATTGTTTTGTAAATATAAATATGCTTTCTAGATAGAAGCAATCAGGTGCCATCTATCCATGCTTTGCTAGCGGGAACATATCAGTCGTTTCTGATTGGCCCTTTGGTTACTATGAGGTTGCTATGATTAGCGACAAGGAAGAAGGAGAGTCATAAAACCGCATCTTCTGGTACTGTACTGTTTCCATTGTTCAAAGCTTGAAAAATCTGTCTATAACTTGTAAAATCTACCCTAAACCTTTCCACAATTTCAACCCTTCCCGTTCTGGTGAGTTCCTTGGACCTGTTATAGTGGTGCACACTGGGAACTTTCGCAAATGTATTTCAATGTGGTTTTAATGCAAGACACTGTAAATGGAATGGATAGAATTCTACTCTACATGGAGACTATTCTCAGGTTGATATTTCATTATGATACACTGATACTTGTGTCATGTGATTGGTTGTAGACATGGCAAAAGTACTTTCACAACCCACTGTTCTATATTAATACAATAATATTCTCAAGATAATGTAAAGGATCCAACATGAACACAAATAAAGCATGATATAGTAATAGTTTAAACATTGTACCTGCAGAGGATATTGACTCCAGCACTCCCTGAGGTCCCAAAACCACGGTCGCTGTGAATACAAGACAACCATCATAATAAACCGAGACACATTGGTTTTGAAATCCTTTAAGCTCCATGAACTGAAAAAACAAATGGATTTGCATTTCAACATGAAGGTGATGTAACGTTATCAGGATGTTTTGTTATTAGTACAAACTCACATTAATCAAACAACATAATCCAGCAATGAAGGCGGCACTGTAGAAAAAGAATCTCCATCTGCAGGATTAAGAATATGAAGTTATTACATAGGATTAGACATTAGAGATGCCATATCTAGATTTTTTACCATAAAATTATATATATTTCCCATGAATTATATATATATATATATATATATATATATATATATATATATATATATATATATATATATATATATATGTGAACAAATGAGACCTGAAGACATTTGGAATCATGGACTTACAGGATTGGTAAAACGGTGCTGGGCGGGACATCAAAATGAAAACAATAACAAGATTTAGAGGCAGTAAATATAATTTTGAAATTTGCATATCCCAGCTGAACTACTGTTATCAGTTAAATAAGTGTTGGAAAAGAGCTTGGTTTATTTGCCTTCTGACACATATTGCTACTTTAAGTGAAGGCGATCCTCTTTTTCCAATGAAAAAGCTGATCCAAAATGTGACAGATGAAAATACATGCATGTGTGAACTAGTGACAGAACCAAACTGTTTTTAACTAGTTACATGGACTTTATTATAACTATTACATGTACAATTGTTTGTGATTTGGAAATGATGAACCCCAGCATTAAAAACATGAACACAACATAAGGACATACGCAGCTTCCCCAAACTTTTTGGTCTGAGATGGCCGGTCCTGGTTCCGGCGCAGTCTGAACCATATCTCAATCTGCCGAAGTGTTTTTCCGCTCTGTGACACTAACGACAACATTTCTTTCTGAAACAGCAAAAAGAAAGATAAAATAAACATTAGAAAAAGTCTTATGCATTTCGTTTTGCATTATGTCTGAGATGTTTTATCTGGAGATGTCTTTCATTCATGTGTTATATTAGTCTTTACAAATATACATATCCAGCCGTTATGTTTAGTCTGTACAGCAATAGGACTTGCAAAACTCATTACTTCTAAATTAACTTCTCTATAGCATCAATCAGCACAGGCGTTATTACCAATCTGATGGCACTGCTGAGAATCTAGAATTTCTTGTACTGTAATTGAAATGGGGTGCCCAAACTTTTGGAAGAGGGCCACATTACAGAATCCTGAATCTAGAGCCTGTCCGTCCGTCGGAGCGGGTCCCTCCCCAAGGTTTCTTACTTTTTCCCAATGGTTTTTCTCCTGTTCCTTTCTGATGCAGGAGGGTTTAAGGACAACAATGATCCAGAACACTTACGCACATTTATGGACATTGGTCATCCACCTCACGTTTATTTTTATTTCTATTTTTGCATTTCATACGTTCAAACTGTTTGATGCTCTGATCTGTTGTTGGCAAATCGAAAACTTTTAAAGTCCTTCGAGTCCTTAGGCCTCTGTGTGTGTGTGTGTGTGTGTGTGTGTGTGTGTGTAGTAATCTTTATTTATATACCGCCTTTCACAGACCAGAGTCTCAAAGCGGTTTACAATTGTTATTTTTGGACAATTGTCCTCTCACTCCACACAGAGATGGGAGCGGGGTCGCCAGTACAGGATGCGCATGCACAGTTTTATTGTACATATCTTTAGTGGTAGGGGAAACCGGAGTACCCGGAGGAAACCTACGCAGACACAGGGGGAACATGCAAACTCACCCTGGTCCGACTTGGATTCGAACCCAGGAGGCAAGAGTGCTATCCACTCAGCCACCGTGCCGCCATGTGTGTGTGTGTGTGTGTGTGTGCGCGTGTGTGTGTGCCGTGTGTGTGTGCGTGTGTGTGTGTGCAGATTGCCATGTGATGGTTGCGAATGTGTATGAATGGAGGTTATGGAAGGGCACATATCTGGTTACGATGTCTGTAACTATTCTGTATTTTTTCATGTTTTTTCTTCTTCTTTATTTTACGTGTCAATACTTCAAACCCTGTGTAAAATCTCATAAAAGGAGGGAAACAATGAGACAAAAATATGAAATATCAACCCCCAACTATTTGAGGCTATCACTACAAAATACTTGAAACTAGAAATATCACAATTAGATCTTTTGCCAAAATGAGTGTCCACATGAAACGACACAGAGATTGTGGATATCTGTAATAGAATCTCACTCTCATTTTTTTCAACGAACAAGCTCGAGTCTCCATCACGACCTGGTACAGAGTTTCATTTGAGGAAGTTATTGCCGCTTCTCCCGATAAAGAGATGGTTTGACTTCCCCCGGAGTAATGACCCTCTGCTCACCTGAGTGGGGGTTCTGCTGTGCTGCCTGTAATAAGACTCCAGCGGAGAGGAGGGGGCTGCACACACCAATGTTCTGTCTCTCACCCCCAAACTGCTGCCCAAGGGTGGGGCAAGGAACCTGTGAACAAGGGAACAAAGGGCCAGATAAAGGCTCTGTGGAGCTGATGCCACTCTCTACTGTAAATAATAAATGCCCCATGCATAACCATTGACATTTCAGATGATCGGATTTCATAAGGAAAAGTTTTGAATGCTGTGAGACTGAAACCATTTCCAAAATTCACAGAAGCAAAACAACTGCTCCATCATGAAACCAGCGGATTATGTTTCATCATCATGCGTAACTTTGTGAAGGTGGAACATTATGTACACGATTGGAAATGAAATGTTAAAGCCAAACATGGAACATTTGTGATGAAATATAAATGCTTAATGTCATTTTGTGGATGATTATGGAATTACTGTCTCTCCATCCAGAGAAAGTGTGAATTTATTCAGTGCCGTAAAAACCAATGAAAACCCATGGTATTGGATCCGTACATAAACTTATCAGCTAAAGATGAGTGCTTTAAGCTATCGGAATTCAAATAATGTTGTTCAGTTGATGAGATAAGGTAAGGTACGCACACATTGGCACACACGCACACACACACACCACCGAGAAAAAAAAATCTAAATGGTAAATAAATTCCAATTATCATTTTCATACAGAAACGAAACAGATCTGAACATATAATTTTCGGAAAGACCCTGCTTTTGGTTTATAATTGAATATTCGTATGTGGTCCCTGTTTATGAGTCAGGGACCACATACACGTGCACATACAAGTACCGTGCATGTGCATATGTATGTGTATACGTACATAAACACTAATGCATTGATTTTTCCAAAGAATTAAATTACTGTTACTGTATATACTCTTACAGTGTCATTTTAGGGACACACATTAAAATGATCACATCTGCTACATTTTAGAATAACCACACTGTATTTACAAATATTCATTAAAGCTGGAGTACCTAACTGTGAAAAGTGAGTACCACCCCTCACTCAGCCAATCAGCACTCAGGATGTAAAAGATGTTTTCCAATAAAATAAAAACAGTGATGATCTGGTGTACTTTGATACGCACTTTCCCCAAACAAAAAATACAATACTTAAATACTTAACTATAGCAATTGAGTCCATCACACATGCATACCTCTCAAACAGAAAACGTAGCGCCACAAAAGCCAGAGCGAGGGGCAGTGTGAGCAGCAGGTCGTGGGGTCTGGGACGTGCAGAGGGTCCCAGGCGCTTCATGTCCTCCCAGGTCACACCCGGAGGAAGCCACAACTCCTGCCTCCACAAGCCGGAAACCAGCTCCATTGTGCTGAGAGTAGGGCCGCAGCAAATAGACAAATATACAACAGTGAAAGGAATTTGTTTGCTTGAAATTAAAGGTATTGTGCTGATCTCTGTCAGCATAAAAGATCATAATTTGTCCGTCTGCCAATCATATGTTCTGCCTTTTATTCTGTCCATACGCTGCTTGTAAATTAACAGTCTTCAAACCTAGAGTAGAAGCATTCACAGTTATATGCATCTTGTTTTGTGCGACCGTTATGTCTTCTGTCAGTACTGTGCAATGCAACACCGAAATTTCCTTACGATGGGACAAACAAAGGGTCATACACAGGGCCACGTTAATGTACCCATAGGCTTACCCAGGATTGTTGGCCCCCGTAATGGCCAAACCTAGCCTTTAATCCCACAAACCCCTGCTACTCCTACATGCACTTATTTGAATGTAAAAAAAAAAACAATTCAACTAAAACAGGGACAAAACTTGCTTCAAATATATGGCAGAAATATTAACAAACAACTTATATTGAATAATACCACTAATAAAATTCTAACTTTGGTTTTAGGCAAAGACAGAGACTGCTTTCAATCAACTTTGGGATACAAATATTCAAATTCAAATGGGTATCTTGATCTTCTGATGTGGCCTTGACTATGATTACTAACCCTGCGCTTTGGCTTGTTGGATAAGGCTTGGATAAACTTAGTCATCAATGTGTTTTTACTGAACTGTGCACTGCAACACTGACATGTCCTCAGTGTGGTCCGATTGAATACAGTATAGTCAGCAGTATCGTCATCACAGGCCATGTCTGACTGCGCTCTCCCTGCATTCATATAACCGAGTTTAACCAACATTTAACTACAATTCTATGTTTTGTTTGCTTGTTTTAGGTTATTTTTCAGATCAGAAGTGAACAAAAAATCTCAGCATATAAAGAGGTTATTATACATCTGATGTATATAATAATACAATTACTAATACAGGTTTTGTCTCCACTCTTATTCAGACTCACCTGATCTCTGGACTCGTTCAGACGTTTTCCACGGGACGTTCTGTGTTGTGATTGTGGCATAAGGAGAAAAGATGCGCTTCACTGCTGCTGAGTCCTGGCGACGTCGAGTGAGCGTGCGCACGTAAAGTCACCTTTAACATCCACAGAGCAGTAACGCGCTTTCAAAATAGTAGCCATCAAAAAACGAAAAGCATGTTTTGTGTACAGATCTATGCTGGATACAGGAGCCCCAATGCCTAAAACCAACTGCATGGTTTAGAGTTGTCTAATATTTTCTTTAATTGTTGCATAATCTGAGCAGAATATGTCATTAGAAACGTTTTATTTTGATACATGTGCGGATGGATGTCAAACAGGCGTGTGCATTCACAGAGCTGTGAGGTTAGTGCATGGGTTTAACGAAACACAAGGGGCGTCTCCTGCTTCACTAAACCTGCTGCAATAACAAAGATATTGTTTATAACAGTGAACCATATTCACATCAAGATACTTTTAATATTGTCACATTAATGAAATTCTATTCGCCCACGTTGACAGCGTGCTCCTCCTTTAGATATGTTTTCAGTATTTCTGAAATTCAGAGAGTATTTATGTTTTCTTTTCTTTCTTTCTTTTACTCTTATAAAACGTGAATTCGCACAAAAACTTCTCCGCAGACCTGAAACTTTACTATGGATTTACGGGTCTGTGTCACTGTCAGAAAACAATAACATACATTGCTCAGGCTTTTGCCTCGAGGCGAACGGCTTGTCTCCCTGAGGATATGTAATTTTGTGGAACATTCATTAGTGCAACATCTCCATGGAGCGACGCAGATGGTGGACCCTGCACTGAAAACTCAAACAGTGCCAGAACACCCAATTGTAAGGTTTTTTGTTTGCAGATATCAAGACCTTGTTTGTTTTGCATATCTAATCTTTGAATCTGCTCACAGCTGGAGTCCCACACTATTGTCCCATTGAAGAGGGGAAGGGAGTGTCACCTTTGATATCACCGCTAAATCTTCTTTAATAAATTAAGATACGGCCATATGCAACATTATCGTATGTGCTATGGGGAAAGCCCGTAGGTTGTGCCTCATTTGTTGATTTAGTCTAAAACAAATGTGAGTCTCTATATTTGCATACATCTGAAAGTTTCAAAAAACAACGTTGGTGATCTTTTTCTTGTTTATTGAAATTAAGCTGTTTACTCGTGTAGACAGAGTTTGTGTAATGTTTATGAGTAGAGTTTATTCTCGAAAGTCAGCATTTTCCATATGAGAGAGTTTTGCATATCTGCGTCCTGGTGAGTGAGTGCAACAGTGCGTGAGATCAGTGCGAGAGGCTTTGTTCTGGGGAGTTGTTGGTGTCCACTGGAGCACAATGTCTCTGTTGAACTTCAGCAGTAATGAGTGCCACAGTGGTCTGATGTTTGATTCACAGAGAAGGACTGGGTCACAACTTGGATTTCCCTGTGAATATAATGATAAACGAATATACGTGTATTGCACCCACTCTCCTTTATACTTTGCACATTTTCTTTCTTTCACACTTCAATATCATAGAAACAATAGTAATCCTTCTTGCACCTTCATTCTCTCTGTGATTTTTAGTTCTCTCTTTGACCACAAGAGTTCAGAAAAGAGCATTGTTACGCCACTCTTTCTTTAAAAATGAAAAACAAAAAAATTATTTTAGGGAAAGAATAGAATTTTTTAAAAATAGGCACATGCAAATTAAGGGTCTCATAAATATCTGTGGCCACAGTAGACATTGTCTCAGTGGTACAATGTATAGAAATGTTATTGCAACTGGAATATCTCTAAGGTTAAGTTTTTTTATTAACCAGCTCAGAGAAGCGAGGAATTGTCGTAGCTTATTTCCTAAAGTGGATGAAGTCGTCTTCATGGCATGAATGAGGGCTCCATGTTTCTTTACAAGCCCCCATCGATTCTGCATTGATTTAATTTACTCTAAATCTTGCTCATATTGACTTTAGGACTGCAGCAAGAGTTTTTTAATTTTTTTAATCATGTATTCAATTATCTTGTTACTCCTGAAGACCTTCTATGACTCTGTGGTGGCATCAGCCATCTTGTGCGGTGTGGTCTGCTGGAACAGCAGCATCACTGAGTGGGATAGGAAGGAGCTGGACAAGGTCATCAGGAAGTCCAGCTCAGTCCTGGGCTGTTCCCTGGACACAGTGCAGCAGGTGGGGGACAGGAGGGTCCTGGACAAACTAACATCTATGCTGGACCATGACTGTCACCCCCTGCAGGACACTCTCTCTGCTCTGGAGAGCAGCTTCAGTGACAGACTAATTCACCCTCGCTGTGTGAAGGAGAGGTTCCGCAGGTCTTCTTGCTGCTGTCAGACTGTACAATGAGAACTGTTGAGCCTGTACATGTTGTTTATCTGTAAATAACTAAAACCATGTGCAAAACTGCAGCTTCAGAATGACCACTGAAGAATGTCACTTTAGTTTATCTACTTATTATCCTGCCCTATATGTACAGTATATAACTCAGTACTAGATTTGTTTCTTTTTTTTGAATGACTAGTATGAAAGCATATACAGCCTTTACAGCAATGAACCATAGCTACTGCTTATTTTGCGCTCCCTGTGTGCTCTTACTACTGTCCTGTCTGTGCGCTGCACCATTGAAAATTCCCCACTGTGGGACGAATAAAGGATCTCTAATCTTATCCTATCTTAAATGTTTTCTATACCTTCAAAATATTCCTTATTTCACTATTTGCTACAGTAAAGTACAGTAAACTAAACAAAAACCAACAAAATATATACTTCACAAAGTTGTTTATTTGTTTTCCATTTAAGAATTCTTGATCCACAATTCATCATCAAAGAGTACAAAATTCAAACTTACAATGAAAAGGAAACATTTTCCGGTAGTATTTCGGTGAACTGCGCGAGGAAAAAGGTAAGGATTATGAATTGGCACCAATGCTTTTCATTATTGTACCTTCAAATGACACAGATTCTCTCAACATTATCCCTCAAAGCCTCTTAAAGGGAAAGGTGCATAAGCCTCTGGCATCTGCTATAATTTCACAGGTTAAAAAACAAACAAAAATATTAAAAATAATCTATTGATTTTAGCAATAGTAGCTTTTATCCTGAGGAACATTATTGACTTGAAAGTATCACAAAGTATGGCTTTTACATATAAATACATATTTAAGATCTCTTCACTCTTTAAGCTCATAGAAATAACTCAAAAAGAACCTGGAGAGATGTATAAAAGAAATGATAACATTTGGAAAAGTACAGTATTACATTAGAGACAGTGTTCCTTCTGCTTTTGGGATCGTTGAAGCTCTTTGGTCAGTCGTTCATTTGACTAAATCTGAATCTGATCTTTACTTTTGTGATCATCCCATCATGGCTTTGTTCATTTGGTTTTTCTGTTGTGCCTAAACCACAGCGTAGTCAAACTGCCCTCTGTCCAGGCCCTCCTTGTGGTCGGTCCAGGACGAGGCTGGCATGCTGCTGTAGGGGTCCAGCAGAATGCGCACACATCGCACCATGAGGAAGAGCAGCAGCAACAGCAGCAGGCCCACCAGGCAGACAGCAGTGCCCTGCTCCCCATGCCCTTCTACCGGATGCACAGTTGAGCTGCCCCTGGGGAATGGGGCTGAAGACGAGAACTCATAGTCCACCACCCAGTCATTTGTGTGACTCATGTTAAGAAGGCAGAATCATCCCAACAACAGGTTTAGAATATCAACATAATTCAGGCTTATGTAACTTCAAACGTCATGACATAATAAGGCAATATAAAACTGAAAAATAGGCAATTATGATTGTTTTTCTTGTTACAATAGACGTGAGACCTAAGTAATTTAGTGAGATCCACTGTCAAGCCAATATGTGTAACACCAGCTATAAAGGCCTCTTCTCAGTCAATACATGCAGTGTCATCAAACTTCTGTGGTGAAAAAATAAGGTTGACCTTAGAGTGTTTTCTCAATGACAAATAAAAATCATGTTCTTGAAAATGGCAGTGGTTTGGTTGAACTGCTCTAAAGGCTTGTATCACTGGTCACAGTAATTGCTATGGTCCCATTTGGAAGAGCAAGTTGTTGAAGGCCCTGGAAGAGAAATAAACACAACATAAGACACTGTGCAGCGATGCTGACGGAGCTGAAATGTGACTGACAATGGGTTCGACAAGGTTCTAACATGTAAAGACTAATAGATGCGGGAAGTGATGACATGCTTAAAATAGATGCGTTCTGGAGTTGAAGAGATGATAATAAAATTATCATGTCAATCAATGATCCATGCAGCTTAGTACAAAACTGAACTTTGAATTGTGCCTTGCACAAATGTTCAAATACATTTTGTTTGATTGATTGTTTGATCCAAACACTTTCTAACAATCAGACAACAACATTGTCAACCAGCTGGAAACCAACACATCATTTCCCTGATATTTCACATACATATGCAACAATTAGAACATTGACATATGGGGAGCTTTGTGTGCATCACTAGACTGCATTGGATCATGAGTAAAAACAACATTAGGAAAGTGAAAGAGTGTCCCAGGTAGACCACAAAGTCCCCGTCTCTGCACTCTCTGTGTTCAGTTCAATACTGTCAGCATATTCTATTCCAGGGTCTCAGTCGGACAACCCTCCATCCTCAAGACAGGCATTGATAGTGATGGTCTTAAAGCAGGGAGAGCCTTTAAAAGGCAACTTAAAGACATAATGAAAGAAAGTGCCTGCCTCAGTATCAATTATCAAATGGACTAAGAACATCAGACCAGGTGAAGACGAACGTCCAAAACCTAAATCCATTTAAATTTACATTTCCTTCTATGTTGTCTTTGAAATACTGGGGTTGATTAACACATAAATCACACACAATTTGACTTATTTTCAATCTTCTGTCTTTATCTCTTGGCTGTGGCACAGTGACTTATAGTGTAGTGATACGCTTTGAGTTGGCAGAAGCCATTAATCCTACAATTAAAGGGGGAAATTAGATTTAAAAAAATAAATACATAAATTACCTTTAATAGTTAATAGATAATAGAGGTATAACCACCTTTCTCTCACTATTGTCATGTAAAGAAATTTATCTGTCCTTTAGATAAAACATCAAATTCAAACAAGTGGTCTTGACTACAGCTGTTTGTGAAGTCCAATGTCAGCTTTGTTCTAATAAAAAGCACCTAGTTTAATATTGAGGCACGAAGGGGGCCATAAATAAATAGTATTCTGTTCACTTATGACAACAATTGGCTTGTGATATTTAAGCGTATGCACAATTTATGGTCTCAGACTGATACATATAAATCAGCCATAATAGAATCATTGCAATGATTAAAACACCGTTTTGAAAAAGAAAACAAATATGCACCTTTTTTTTAAACTAGTTTTTCCTCGTTTTCTTGAGTTAAGTTTTATCAAGTCGGATAATTAGAATAATAAGAACTGCCTGAGATCCCATTCAAAAGTGACTCGTCATTTCCCAGCAGCGTGTCGGTGACTTCAATGAGAGCTGTGTTGAAGGAGACAGAAAACTTACTTGTCAGTGCAACTTGTCATCTGTGGAAGAACGCATCTCGTCTTTTTCTTCACTTCGCACTTATTTTCCTCCCGCGCTCAGAAACAGGACCACATCAGGACCGCGGACAGCTCCTGTCTCCAGTGGCTCCACGCGCTGAGCTTTAAAGACCACCCAGACCCGCCCCTCGCCCTTCAGTCTGTTGGTGGCCCGCGCCCAGACAGCGCATGTATTCTGCGCCTGGATGAGTAAAGGGCCCGGAGCCCCGTCGAGAGTGCCTTATGTAAGAAGACTTGGTGGGGCCCCTGGAGCTGAAGTGACACAGTTTGTGCCAAAGTCTGTGTACCAGCAAACAAGCATGTCATTCTGTCTGCCTGCTCAAAAATCACAGTAAAAATCTCACTCAAGACTTGAGATGCCCCATGGACAAAACTGCTTATTACACTGATGATGTAAAGGTCCCTGCAGTGTGACCTAGTGCACACCACGGTTGCTCATTATAAAATCTTACATAATTTAATACTATTGCATAATTGAAAACTTATATGAAAAATAATCAACTTAATTACGCAATGTCAATGCCTTTTTGTGTTACCCTTTATTATGTTGAATTCCCCCCCCCCCCCCTCCCTCCCTCTTTTTGGCATTGAATATAGTACCTGAACATACAATCTTTCTACAAAGAAAACAACAGATAGTTATAACAATATTATCAAAGCTCTGACCAGCTCTCATTTTCTAAATTTGGCAGCCGGCCAAAATACATATACCATTTTAGTGCTTGTCAAAACCTAATCTCATCAAATCTCTGAAGTCGGTACTCGGGGGACAGCTGTGAATGTCTTTAAGATGTGTTGCTTAAAAATATACAGTACCGTTCTTGTGTGTGAATGCTTGATGCTGGTTAAAGACGGTCTCTTTTCCCAGTCTGCTGACAATGTATGGAGAGAATAATGCAAAGTTTAGTCACAATAAACCTAAAGGGGCATAAAACAGGGGAAGGCTGTCCTCAAGGATCAACACAGGAGACTGAAACACAGGTCACTTTCTAAGTAACAGTATTATTCAAGTAAGTTATTAAGAGATCAAACTAACCATGTGTCAAGTGTCCCAGCAGACAGGAATGTGAGAACAGTCCAGTTCATCAATCAGATTCACTACGAGCATTAGCAACATGGCACACTTTGAAATGAGAAAAACAGATCATTATAGGTAAGGTTTTAATTTGCAGTGGCATGTACCACTATTACGTACACCATACAGAAGCTGCAGAGTCAGAGGAACAAATAAAAAAAACACTTTCTGCAGTTTTATTGAAGCCGCAGACAACCACATTCTCTTAATATTGAACGATCAATGTGCAGAGGCATGGGGCAATAAGCCACTGAATGTGTTGCTACACCATTGAGTCAGTGAAAATGATTGAATGAAAGGAAATATACAGAACGGCATAATGAAATTTATGAAATTTCTGTGATCAAAACAAAATATTGCAACAATGACAACAATTATGATGCAGACCTGTAGGCCCTTCTGAAGTACATTTGAGGGAATCAAAACATATTGGATGTAGTAACTACAGCAATAGTACATGTGTACAAATGCGACAATTTATTCAGAATAGTGTAAAAAAAAAAAGACAAAAACACTGTATACATTATATATTTCAAAGGCCTTATTTTTTAGCAGTAAATGCACTTACAAATATACAGTAAAATAATGAATATTATGACATAAATAAAACATTCTTCTCACACATTCATACCATACACAGCCGCATACTGACGAGAAACCATGAATCAACACATCTATGAATTGTTCTTGAACCCAGGCATCGAAGCAGACTTTGTTTAGCACATATTTAAAATGCAAATGCACCAAACTGCAATAACATAAATAGTAGACGGGGCTGACGAGCACCCGATATTTCAGTTTAGTCACTACTTTTTATGTAATCGTGAAGACAGTTGGACCATGGATCATTTACTTTGATTAATGCACTTCTCTGGGTATTCACAGGCTGGAATGGACAATGTTTGAAGCATGAGTTAGGTCTTACGTGGAGGTTCAGGTTGTCATGGCATGTTTTGTTTACTGCTTAGCGTCCATAATGCGCAAAGTTATCCTTAAAGTATCTGCTCTGTGCTGGAAGCAGAAATGTCTAAAAGCCTCCAGGCTGCACTGGGGTTCAGCTCCTCCTGGTCTCGACACAAGGCCCAAACATACATCATCCTCATCACTTTGTCCTGTTCAGAGCAGAGAGGAACAGATCAGGTTATTCATGGATCTGACATCACAGAGCAGTGTAGGGCAAATAACATTTGAAAAAAGTATAAGAAGCAATAAGGCAATACACAATTCCCCCACATTCCTCCAAAACAATCTTTTTGAGATTACTAGTGCTCCAATTAGAACTGAACGGAGGTTGTACTGCTGCCTATTAGGAAAGCCACTTCTCTAACTGCTTATGAATCATTTCTACTTAAAATGAATAAATGGTTGTGCACAAAATGAAACATGCTGCAGTTAGCGTCTTGGATTGTGATCATATCATGTTGCTCGCGTTTTATCAGTTTACCGCTGACTCACCGGATCTCCCTCCACAATGTCTCCTTTGGGGCTGCGGATCACCATGACGACCTGCGCCTGGAAGGTGATAATCAGCACTGGGCCCTGGTCCATCATCTTCCCCATCGCCAGCTGCAGAACAAACAAAACACTTGTGTAAATGTCTTTACTTTTCTGTAACCAAGAGTCTGTAGTTTTTATGGACATACATCAATGTTGTCAATGTCCAAGACTTTGGACTGGAACAAGAGACCCAGCGCTCGAGCCTGCTGTATAGGATGGGCCAATTGACTGTATGTCTAAAAAAAATAAACAATGGGTTTTAGAAGTTATTGCAAAACATATGACAGGCCTCAAAATGTAGAGAATCCGTTTGGTGCAAAAACTGTTAAAGCAAGACTTACAGCTTCATAGCACCAGTCTTTCAGCACGTCCAGCTCTCCTCGGATCATAGCCTTCATAAACACATAAGATTAAGAGATCCTTTATTCATCCCACAGTGGGGAAATTTCAGTGTTGCATCACAAGTTATAGAACAGTAGGAAAGAACACCCAGCACGAGATAAGTGAACAACAGCTATACTAATTAAAAGAAAACAAAATTTTAAACTCAGTAAATAACACATTCTTTACAATACAGCCTATTCTTTGTAGTTTCATTGTTAACGAAACAATATTTAGTCGTTACCTCCAGAATGTTGGGAATAATGTCTTTCTCGCATTGTTTGAGAAATATGTCTTTGTCAAAAGAGGGATCAGCTTTCACAATCTCTGTCAACACCTCAGACATCTCAGTCTTTGAGAAAAGACCACCTGAGTGATTAAAAAACAAATGTTATGACACACGTTTAACAAATGAAAACTATTCATGTTCATTTATTTTTTTACCAAGAAAGCCTGTAACTCTATCAGTCACTACTCTGGACGCTCTGATGACCATATTGTCACTTTCATCATATTTCATCTTCATTTCAAAAAATCCTGAGAAAAAATGAGCATCCCAGAGACATAAATTAGGAGATTGAACTACATTGTGCCATCTACTGGTCAAAAAATATACTGTCCTCATAATGTCAAAACATTGTAGATGTTTTGTATCAACTTACTGTTAAAAACTACATTGTTGTCCTTAAAGTCCTTCCATTGCTGATACCATTTTGAATCCTTGTGTAAAACCACACCCATTGCTTCCCTACACAACAACATAATCCATAATCCAAAGCACAACACCAATGACGATAACTCCCCTCCCTCATGTTACTTACTCATTGGCTTCATAAACCTTTGACTCAGAGTCCATGTCTTTAGAGGAGTACTCAGTTCTCTTCCTCAGCTGAGGTGGAGCTCTGTAAGAACCGGAGTCAGCTACATCGATCTCTTTCTTCACCGCCTCTACACCCTATGATGGACATATTAAAAACAGACTTAATAAATAGTATACAAAACCAAATGTTTTCTTTTTCCCAAACCTCTGACCTGTGAAATTGCCTTAAATGCACCAGACTTGCCAAGCTTCTCTCCCCCTTTAGTCACAGTCTCTGCAGAGTTGATGGCGGTCCGAGCAGCTCCCTCAACTCCCTCCTTTATCTTCTTTCCGAGATCAGTACGGGTCACCTCTTCCAAACCCTACAGGCACAAAAAAGGTTCCACACTGGGTCCTGTAATAAACAAATGTGTCAACTTGAGACAAACTGACCCCTTTCACAGTATCTGACAGAGAGTCCAGTGTCTTCTTAAAAACTTCTGATGTCTTCGCCGTCTCTGCTTCTATAGATTTCTGATGACATAATAAATAGCATGAAAAAAAGGCAAATGTCAAGGGAAAAATACTGATGTCTACAACACAATTCTTACATATTTCTTCCGAGCTTGTTGAAGGGCATCTGACTCCTCAAGCCTTTTGGCCTCTTCTCTGAACTTCTTAATATTATCCTTCATTTCTTGATTCTTGCTAAATTCCTGCCGTAAGTTATCCACAAACTCTCCAAGAAAACCTTTACGACCAGATGAATGCCGCACCTGTAAAAAAAAATAATAATAATGTGAGTGTGCACAACCTAATATTTTTCTAATATAATTAAATCACTTAAAATGTACATGTTACACCACTCTGACAACTTGGTGTGGAAAAATGAGCTCTTTAATGTCTCCGGAGAACACAACGGAAAAACAGTACAGACAGACAGCAGCTAATCACAAATCCTTCAGTACAACAGCTTTTTTTTTTTTTTTTTTTAATACGTCACTCTTATATACCAGGAGCCGCGCGCGCTCCCTTTTAACTGATATATTTTAACCCAATACCGTTACATTAACTGTTTGTATGTGTTAAAATAAGGATAAATATTTCTACAATATTAAAGAAAAGTTTACACACTTATTCTAAGTGCTAACCTACATACATTACACGCTGGGGTAAATTGAATATGTGGAAAGTACCTGAGTTGAGGGGACAGCGAGTCTTTGTAGCATGTAAACATCTTTATGGCAAACGAAGGGCACCAGGGGCCGTGAGCAAATAACCAGAGCCCGTCGGCCAACCAGCTAAGAACAAACACAAGTCACATTGGTCTGCATCATCAAGTCACTGGCATCATAACTGTGAGCAGGATAATCTCTTGGTAAACTCAGTACACATAATAACACATATTACACACAGAAACTAAATAATACGAGTAAAACCTAGCAAACGGGTTACATAAAGTTAGCATTAGTCTGATGCAACTGATTGAATTTCGAGATCAATATAAAAGAATCTCTAGCTAAGTTCATGCACCACGGTAAAAGCGGATCTTTTTATCGGGATTACAACAACTACAGAAAAGAATGAACAGAACAGTTAAGAAACAGAAAGAATGAATAAATCACCTCGGAGCAACGACACAAGGAGGCCGCCATCTTGATATTGAAGAGCGAGGGGGCGCACGTGGTTTCCCATGTATCAGCTGACTGTTATTTGGACCAATCACATCAGAGAATCTAAGCGGTAGGAGGGACTCGCTGTCACTGTTGATTTAAAGAAACACGAGCCCAAAGTGCGTGGAGTGAATGTATTTTCGGTACAGTTATCCTTTATTTGAATTATTAGCAATTATTTCGAAGAAATTTCACTTTTTTCAGGGGGCACCTGAAGCAAACTTCACTCTCCACACACTTCCTCCAGCCCATCCGGGGGAATCCCGAGCGATCCCCATGCCGGTGTGTGCAGGGCGCTCATTGAGCGACAAGCCACTTTGTCGAAGGGTACAAACTTCATTCGCTTGTGATTGGAAATCTCACTGATCACTGATTCTTGATTGGATAATCTTGATATATTGTTATCATCAGCGTGGTCATCAAATGATATATATAGATATATTTTTTTACTATTGAAGATACATCTGTCTTCAATTTTAGATCAGAAAATACAGTATTTGATTTCCACATGTGTCTGATAAAAGGGTTGCATACTCCCACTGTCCCTGTAAGGATCAGTTAATTGCATAAAAATACCGTCACTTCCTAACTCCATTTTACTGGGATATTAGATTGTTATTATTGAGATAATGTAAACGGCATAACTATTCTTATCAATGAGATGCGGAATTGACCTCACTGCTGGTATGCCCATGGTATGCCATTATAAGGCGCCCCCTGGTGTAAACTATGCACACTGCAGGGACTCCTCCCCTCCCTCTGCAGACTTCAGCTCCTTTTCTGCGGCCACTTCGCCCTGACAGTCGCCCGCCCTGGCGCACACTCCCAACCCAAACCTTTATCTTTCTGTAATAAATCTCACAGTCAGCACTCTCTGACGCCCGTGTCTACGCAGACTCTTCCGGGGACCAGCGTTGGAGCAGCCTCGTGTAGAATGGGGAACCGAGACGATGAATACGATTTTTTGTTCAAAGGTAAAGATGACTGCATTCCCTTTCAATAGCGACATCGCTATCCATGATAGACACTGGCATCACATTTGCTTTGCTATGGACAACTCAAATGACAATTCTGGTGTTTATTTCACGAGTCACAGTTCATTACAACACACTACCTTTCATTGTAACATCACATCGCCTCAAGCTACTTAAAGGATGCAACACCCATTTCATCAGTCTTTTATGAAACTTTTATTAACTCTTTGCAATAACTGGCGACAGCAAAATCTAGTGTTATTATATTCATCCATGACCCATTTTACCTTTCAGGCCTAAGTGCGCCTCTACCTTGTATTGATCCTCAGGCATCCTCCTCTTCTGAAGATGCTCTGGGAAGAAGCTTATTATGCAACAAACTCCAGTGAATTTGTATTAGCCTGTGGTGGTGTGCCCCTGTGTCTTCATCTAATAACCTATACAAAAAGTGATTGACCTATATATATTTTGTTTAGAATGGTTTCCTTTGATTGTAATCCTGTGGCACACTGACATCCTGGGCCTGCTCACGCTAAAAGGCCATTTAGATGTAACAAAGTCCCCTCTGTGGGATGAATAGGGCATCTGCTGGAGGCGAGAAGCCCCCGCACCCAGCTTCATACACCCACCAATTTGGTTTTGCTCCTGGGCTACATCAGATCCATCATCCAAACCCTATAGGACAGGAAGTGCAAGGCGCTGTGAAACTGTCGATTCAGGTTTTGATGAGGCTGTTATCAGCTTCCTGCAGCCTGAGGGGAGCTCTGTGTCTAACAGGGACAAAGTTGGGCTCAATTTCCTCTGTGAAGAAAAAAACAATGCTCCACCTCTGCTGTGATGTGAACAACAGACTCACCAGGATGGACTCCTCACACAAGTTTCATTATACATATGCATACCTGCTTCTTCAGAGTGAAATTATCAAATAGTATCAGTCATAGGCCTGGTCACAATGGTCCTTGAGACACATTTTTCTCACATATTGTTTACATGTCACAAGATAGGGTTTGTTATGATAAGACATGTGACATCAGTCAAATTGCATTCTCTGGATAACATTGTTAGGGCCTGAAATTGACCAGACAAGGTTAAACAAACTGTGTGCGTTTCCTTTTACTTGGGTGAATGTATAATACCTTACATATAATCCCTAAACCAAACTAAAACTATGAGATAAAATCAATGTAGTTCCAAGCTCTCAAAACAGTTTGGGTCTGTCACCAGTTTTCCCATGCATGGATTTTTGGACTTCTGTTTAGCTTTGTCAGTGCCAGCCCACATTCAGCCAATACAAAAAAAGTATATATTACTTTGAACTAGATAATCTGACACAGTCCCCAGAACTTGAACACATGTGTGCCCAAAAAAATACTACCTTTAAATCTATGGAAGTCAATAAAATGTAAATATTTTATTGTTATCATAGTTTTCAGTGTTTTTTCTTGTCTTTGCAGTCGTGTTGATCGGGGACTCGGGTGTGGGCAAGAGTAATCTTCTGTCTCGATTCACAAGGAATGAGTTTAACCTGGAGAGTAAGAGCACCATCGGAGTGGAGTTTGCCACACACGCAGCATCCAAGTCGACGGAAAGACAATAAAAGCCCAGATCTGGGATACAGCGGGGCAGGAGCGCTACAGGGCCATCACCTCAGCGTGAGTTCATACCAGCAACACTCACTTACCTGAGTTTGGCGTCGTTGACTGTTTCCACGTTTTAAAATATATACCGACAACCTGGTACAAATCCAATTTAAGTCTTCAGATAGTCCCACACGTTTAGGATTTTATCATCAAATCTGATAGTAATTTCATCTAAGTTAATCTGATAAGTAACTGTATTGTAATGGTAAGTAAGTTACTTACTTACTTACTTATCTTGGAATATACCTTATTCTATTCCAAGATGTTGGAGATAAGACTTAAAATCCCAAAACACCTGCCTACATTTTACCAAATACATTTATATCGTTTGTCCTGGGTCGACTCGCCGTTTGCTCCTGGCCTTAAATACTGGGGCTGCAGTGTGAAAAAGCTTTCTGTGAAATATTTTATATTAGATGCCCAATTAAAGTTTTATGCAGCATTGTTAGGAAGCAAACAGAATATTTGAAAGGTCCTTCTTAAGTAGTATATTGATATTAGAGACATGCGCTCAAAGGATGTGGTGATCGCACTGAATATTGGATTTAGTGTTGATTGGAGGAATAATTCGGTAAGTAAGTAGTCTTTATTAATATACCGCCTTTCACAGACCAGAGTCACAAAGCGGTTTACAATTGTGTGCATTTGTCTCCCACTCCACACAGAGATGGGAGTGGGGCCAGTACAGGAGGCGCATGCCAGATCTAATGTACATGTTATTAGTGGTAGGGGAAACCGGAGTACCCGGAGGAAACCTACGCAGACACGGGGAGAACATGCAAACTCCACTCAGAAAGGCCCTGTTCCGACAGGGATTTGGACCCAGGACCTTCTTGCTGAGAAGCGAGAATCCACCGTGCCGCCCTATTTAGTGTTTAGTCATGAATTGGTTTGTATCTACCATGTTTTTATTTCCCCATTTTAACTATCCTGTTTGTATGGTCTTTGCAGGTACTACAGAGGGGCCGTGGGAGCACTTTTAGTATATGACATTGCCAAACATTTGACGTATGAAAATGTGGAGCGTTGGCTAAAAGAGCTGAGGGATCATGCGGACAACAACATTGTGATCATGTTGGTTGGAAACAAGAGCGACCTGCGCCACCTCAGAGCTGTCCCCACAGACGAGGCCCGGGCCTTCGCAGGTTTACCTCCTTCTTTCACACTACTGAGAACACATTACGGCTGATAAAACTCACCCGTTTTATTTGCAGAAAAGAACAATCTGTCTTTCATAGAAACATCAGCCTTGGACTCGACAAACGTTGAAGAGGCCTTTAAAAATATTCTTACAGGTAGGTTATTTTACACCAAGGGACTACAGATAAAGAAACCTTATTTTCATGAAGTCAAAAGTGACATCTCCCCCTTTTGATTGCTTCATATGCGGTTACATACTCATCACTTTTGCTCATGTTTAAGAGGCGTTGCACATGTGTGTCGATTTTAAGGCATGTGTTGTATGAGGACAGACTCAAAATTGAGAAGGGAAAAGTATATTCAAATTTAACTTCATCTTGTACAACTCATACTACTCGAATATGTAGTCATTCACTGTGTAATACTTATTTGCTGTTTTGTCCCCCCTTTCTCCAGAAATATATCGAATTGTATCGCAGAAACAGATTGCTGAGCGGTCGGCTCATGATGAGTCTCCAGGGAATAATGTGGTGGACATCAGTGTGCCACCAACCACCGACGGCCAGAGAGGGAGCAAGCTGCAGTGCTGTCAGAACCTGTAGTCCTGCATGCATCATCTTATCCTGGGTGGATTATTAGTTGAAATCTTGTGCACCGGTCTGCTTGGGGTGCCATATTGTGTTAGTGAGCACTTTGACAAGCAAGTTCAGTCCTCAAGTGATTTTCAAATGATTTCAAATCATAATATGACCCAGGGCTAGTACCTTTTAGTGCAGTCAGTGCAGCCAGTCCAGGGGTCTCATTTACTACACAGTGCGGTAAACGTTTACAAAGAAGTGCGTGTGGCTGAAATCCATGCACAAGTTTTGAGAAATCACGGATTTCTCAAAACTTCAGTGCTGCCCTTTTTCTGTGCATATAATATTGTGAGTAAAGGATTAGGAGAGACGATCCCGCCTGAGCTCACCCCTTGGTCTCACCATATAAGGACATGCAGTGACTTAATGAATGGTATTTGAACAAACACCAAACTCGATGGCACTATTGAGCAAGTTTGACACATGAGGGCTAATAAACTCAAAACTTCACAGTTTCAAAGTTTCACAAATACACAAATCCTCAAACCCTGCCCCTTTCTCCTCCCTCCACTCTTCACCTTGGAGACCACAAACAGTCTGAAGTTGCAGTGGTGGGCCGCAAAGTTTAGAAGTAGTTATTCATAAATCCCAACAGCAATCTGCTGCGCACAATTATTGTGCATAATAAATCAGACCCCAGATCTTGCTGCAAGCCTCCAGGATTTCCCTTTGTTTTCCTCATACCAGCAGTCCTGTTTCGGGCTTCCTCATCTACATGTCTTCATCTCAAGTGGTTTTGATGCTGCTGATGCTTTCTTTTTGTGTAAAATATATATTTTGTTTTGATAGCTTGTTTGCTCACATACATTATATTAATGCCATGAAATAAATTTTACAATACCACCATGTTCCGTTATTGTTGCAAACATAAGAAAATCCTCACCTTATCATTTCAAGGAGCATGCAATTTATATAAATTCGATATGCAAGAGCAAAATCTTAATTTGTTAACATTGGTCACTTTCTCCTCCTGAAATCGCGAAAAAAAAGAACTTTGCACATTTGATGGTTATTTTAATGTTTAGGGTATTTTAATATTAATACACACATACACGTAACGAAAGACGTAGTGTCTTCAGTCAAAGCTCGCGATTTACCAGTCAATCTATGTCACCTAGGGTCATGGCTTTGAATAATGACTGAAAGGACCAGATCGTGGATTCTAGCAGGTGGAATCAGTTTTTTTCCGCAGAACGGCTAGGCGCTCCCTTAGAGGGTGAGGAGGTCAGTCACACGTTCTGCTTTGGACAGCTCCTTAAAGAGGGGTTACAAGAATGTCTCACTTGGAGAAGACACTTTGGGTGAGCTGGAGGAAACAGGTTCCCTCCTTTTTCAAACTCAGACATAGAACTATATTCTGTTGTAAGTCAAAGTTGTAGCCGACTGAACATGGCCCAGAGCAGCACGATTTATTCATTTAAACTTGACTTTATCTTGTCACTTAAAATATGCATACATTTAAAATATTCAAGATTGTTTTGATGCCAATGTAATGCAGCGTAAATGTTCATGGAAAATGAACACGTTTCAAATTGTCTAAATACAAGTTATGTGGGAATAAAGTTCCAACTACATTTGTTTGATACATCCTGTAATATGTATATATTGATATACATGTGTGTATAATATATATTTACATATTATAATATTACTATGTGTTTTGTGAACATAGCCTTCATTTCCTTTTTCCATTCATCATACTGTATCCTCAGAGTGAGTGAGGGGGGAGGGGTAATGTCAAAGAATGTTAAGAATTAATCTTAAGGTAGGTCCTACATGTAAATTATTGTCCATGTTGCCATTAATGCTTCTAACCAAACCCAGAAAATTAGTGTTAGAGCTGGTTTTGATGTAGTGCACCTTAGGAAGCTCAAATGTTTTGATACCGGCAATAGTTTCTTGTGGTTATGTCATGTGTACAATATAAATAAGAGAGTTGCAAGAGTTGGGTTCCATACAATTGTTAGTTATCAATAAGTATCACCACTGAATCCAGAAGTCCCTCAAGTTTATTGCACAATAACCCAACTTTCCAAGGGATGCAGCAGGAAGACTACAACACAAATTACTTTAGTGTGCTGCAAACATTGATTGACATCTCAAATAGGTGAAGATTGCCCGCTTTGGCACATTTTACACTTCCACCTCAAGTACCAGCCTACTCTGGCACTGATCAGTTTTATGTAGGACAAAACTGTCATCTTTTCTGAACACTTTTTCCCTTATTTCTAATCTCATTTCCCATGACAGGACATAACACTACAAGTCTTTGCTAGGCAGCTCAAAGAATGAATGATGCATTTACAAGTGAAGCAGGGTTGTTGTAATGCGCTTTTACAATAGTCATAGAAACTGCACCCATTGAGACTGGACAGAAACCCCCAGACGTTCAACACCATTTTGTTATGCACCAAGGCCTGCCCGTTTCACGGACATAGATTAAAAACCATACGCTACAATCAGATCCCATATGCCAAATGTTTCATAATCACAAGCCTTTACATTTTTTAACAGAGGTTCAGAAAACCAGATTTTCATCAATGACCGGAACAGTGCCAATAACGTCTTCAACACCATCCACTGGCTTCTGAATGCCCATTAAACACCAGTTAAATACATTGTGCAGGGCATGGGGATATAGGTAGTGATTATTGTATTATATTGTAGCATGCTGCATCAGTTCTAACCTGCTACATTAGCTTGTGTCTTAGTATCTCATAGGTTTGTGTTGGACATGATGTCAGGCTGGTAAATCCAAGGTTAGCTCACATGGCAGCTCTAGCTGTCCGGCAAGTGTCTTCTGCTGAGACTCTGGAACGAGTTCTTTCAAGACACTTCAACGGTCTCCCAATACTGCTGTATCATACATCAAGTGCTTCCATATAACAAAGAAAGGTCTTTGTCCCTTTCCAAATGGTCCTGGTGAAGTGCAATAGTTTATTCAAAAGTTTTAGAGAGTGCTTTAGAGGCCTATATATACGCAGCACTCATACGATGGTCTCATCAGTCATTTTCTTGGTCGACTTGGTCGGCATCGAACGCTGGGTGGTGTGGCCCCCTTTAATGTCGGGCATAAGCAAGCGCACCTTCTGATTGGTCCGTCGCCACTCAGAGTACAACTGACAGTGATAACGAAAGGACACCTGAGAGTGAGAAGAAACAAAAAGTGGTTCAGAGATAACCATATTTTATGTCCAAACTGACTGGACATAACATTAATGCCTGAAAATATTAAAAGAATGTATTTGCAAAATTACAATATGTAAAGCAGCGATATATAGAAGGTAGAAATATTTTCATTAAAAAGCGATTAACAGGCATTAATACAGACTTCCATTGATGATTGTTCATCAAAATGAGAATGCTGTTAGCAGAGGTAAGACATTGCTCTGACAATACATTTGACACTTATCATTGTCAAATGTATTCAGTTCATGATCAGAGTGCATATTTCATTATTAGTTAAGTAAAAAAAATTAAAAAATACATTAATAAGTGCCTAATGTGTTCTAGGACTTAATGTGAGACAGCAAAAACGCACAACGGCCTTTACATAAGACTATTACAATTTATTTTAATTTTTACTTTTTAAAAAGTGATAGTCTGTAACTCTAAATGAATTACAAATTTTAGGAAATGTGTTAAATTGACCTCTTGGCCTTAAATGTTGATATAAAATAAGTCATTTTATTAATTCTAATATTACGGGCAAGTCCCTTCCCTTCTCTTAGCTATAGTTCAGAATCCACCGTCCACGTTAACCAATCGAGTCATGCCAAGGGCTGTCAATCATCTGCGCTGATGCTCGTAGCTCTGCGCATGCTCAGTTGTTTGTTTTCGCGGAGCCTCCGAATCAAGCCTCTATTAGGCTCTGAAACTAAATGAAAACTGAACAAAGAATTCTGAACATCCGCGCTGAGGTACTTATGTATATACTGAACCTATATCCATAATCAGATCCTCTGTAGGTGTGTCCTATAATGTGCAATTCATGATAATAGCATTTCCTGGTTTGCCGTGATCGCTTTTTGTGTGCATAAAAACATTATTTTTTTCATTAAAACGTTCACAAATAATTCGGAAAACCTCTGTGCATGTGTATTAATAATGTATATGTATAATGTGTTCTCTGATTAACATTTCAAAGTGTTACGGAAACGTAGGTGTAGACCAATCAGAAAGGAAGGGGGAGGGAGCTTGCGTTGTTTTTTCCCAAATCAAGTACCTCTCTGTCTCTCTTTCTGACAAACTCCAGACAATCACTTTAAAGAAATAAAATGTCCAAAATAATGATCATATCCACAAGGGGTGGGAATCTTGGGACACTTGACGATTCAATTACAATTCAGAGCCTGCGATTCGATTAGAATTGGATTGATGCATTTTTAATACAGGTATATTGATGCACTTTTTCCACATTTCCAGAGTTAAATTCAGTTCCATTATATTTTATTACCTTTATGAAAGTATCCATTTGAATGGAAATGCATGAAAATTTGAACTTTAGTCGACCGCTCAAGGTACTGGCTGTTAGGCACAAGCACAACCTAAGGGCGCGGTTAGAAGGAGTCAGAAGGTCCTACCTCAGCCACTACCTTGAGGTCCAAGTAAAGTTTCAGTTTCTCTTCCTGTTTACACTAGGCTTTTGTGCACCAACCAGCTCGAGCCTGGATTGCGTTCTTTGCAATCAATTGAGAATCTGAACCACAGTATAGTTAATGGAACTGTATTTCAGTTCTGCTTTACTTGGCATATTCAAATAATCAGAATTTGGATGTTTGTGTATCGTTCTCGATTCTTCCACAGCCAAATCGCCATTAATCTAAGGGTGTATTCAGACCTGAAAAGTCCTTTGCTCCGCTTGCTTGATCCGAATCAAAAGCAGACCAAACTTTTTTCTTTTGCTCCGGTTCGTATTCAGACTGTCCTTTTTGCAAGTGAACTTTTTTATATAAACATATAGACACGTGTGACGATCGGCGCTCCTATTGGACAGAGAGAGCTCACGGAGGATAGACGCGGAGGGCTCGTATGTGCAGCATGTCTGCTCTGCCTCTGTTTGCTCTTTTTAGAGCAAAACCACCTTCAACATCAACAGTAGCTCATATGACACAGGCCAAACACGTTGTTTTAAATATTGGAACAGCGTCGGAGAATGCGTGAGGAGAAAGCCGAAGGAGACTGTCTGCGCTCCGTGCCCTGTCCCACACATGGATCTATTATAATAATGGCCCTGTTCAGCATTGTGGCTAAACCATGGATCTATAATAACCACGGGACAAACAGACGCTGAGGATCAGGTAGGAACCAAAGAACACAATTCACTACATGATGCGGGATATTTCTTTTTGAGACGTGAGTCAAACAGTGTCAGGTTTTTAATAATGCAAAGTATTTGAAGATGCTGCCATTAACATCACTGTATACTGTGAACAGTTTTAACTCCATAAGCCTGTTGCACAGCGTCTCCTCACTGCTCCAGGTCTGCCCACGGCTTAGTGTTGTTGTGTAGCGTTAGCAGCATAGTTAGCCGCTGCGTGGCGAATTCCTCAGTTTCTGTCTGCGGTGCTTGTTAAGCCCAAAAAATGCGCACGTATCTTGGAGTTGTGTCGGATCGACACCGGGTGTATTCAGACCTGATTCGGTTTGGACCAGAATTCGTTTGGAAGCGGACCGAGACCACCTAAAAAAGTGGGTCTCGGTTCGGTTCGGACCTGGATTCGTTTGTGTGTATTCAGACCTGCATAAAAGCTTCGGATCAGAGTTCTAAACGAATCCTGGTCCGTTTAAAGTGGAGCAAATGTGCAGGTCTGAATACACCCTAAGAATCAGAAGTTTCACCCACTTCTAATAGCCACAGATGAGAACGTAATTATAGCAGATATACATTTCTAAAATTAGAAATGGGTTCCTAAATGGCTTGTGCTAAAAGATCGGAAAAGAGCATAAAATACTAAAGTAATATGCAATGTCAGTGGGGTTTCTATATCTTATGATCATAGGATGCTAGTAATTACCAGTGTCCAGAGGATATAAATGGTGAAGAGAGCAATGGTGAGTGCGATGAGTCCTACAGCCTCCAGTCTGCTCTTGAGCTGGAGATGGTCCTGAGCTCCTCTCAGACACAGCCAGCCAGAGATGGCTGCGAGTGGCGTGATGAGCAGGAAGCATGCCATGTCACAAAGTAGAGTACGCTTCTCACTGCGTGGACCTGGGTCCTTCAGCCACTGAACAGAGGAAACATTACACATGCATAATCATTACTAAACTTATAATACTAATATTTAAAACTAAAAAAGCTCTTGTAAGTTTCACACTACATATATATTGCAGACATTCCAAAACATTTGTTGAACCACATAGTTTCATAATGCATTAATTTGTGGAGGCTCAAGTCAGATTTGCACCCGGATCTACCGCAAGTGCTCATCAACCTGAATCCAAAGACGAGGAGGAAACCAGCTCCTTTCTACAAATGTGACACTGAAGAACAGAGTGTAGGCATTAGAGAGGGCAGCTTTTATTTCTTGCAAATGTATTTATTTCATTTCATTTCATTTCATTTGTTTATTTCTTTCGAGCCCATAACATTACACATTTGTTTACACAACAAGCATCCCACAACATTGCACAAGAACAGAACATGATTCACTAATGCTCCTGTGCCCTGAAGAAAAATAAAAAAATAAAACATAAAACCACCTATTACATATTCACATAGGCCTTGTTGTTCATAAGATTTCCAGATGGGGTCAAAAAATAGTTTGATTTCACATGTTGAATTGTATCACTTTATATCACTATATATTATTTTTTACATTTATTATATTTTACTTATGATAATAACGTCATCGTTATTTACACAGCATCAATGGATGGATCAATGTGACATACAGGATTTGAATGGATCATTTACAAGTAAAGGTGTGCTATTCAACAGCAGGACGATTCTCTGATGTTCATCTGTTTGTCCCATGTCCATGAGACCTTTGTGCAATCCAGCGTCCACAGGTCTCAAAGTTGTATTCCTACAGAGCCCACGCGATGTCAGTGCTGTGTGTAATGATCCATATTGCATATGATCGTTTTAAACAGATATTTGTTATTCAGTGATGGACAATACAAGTCAGGGGTTTTTATTTATGAGCCCTTGCGTACTTGTTTTGACAGTAATTCTGATTTTGAGGACTCTGACTCGGTTCAAATAAAGGAGCAATCTGCAAGAAATGAACATTTGCGGACATTAGGGCTGTTTCCACGGGCTGGAGTTAAAGATCTATGGTCCGACCCGTCTTGACCCGGTTTGCGGATGCGGTCAGTTTGAGCTAGATGGTGCCACCCGAGTGAGTGTAAATAGCTTAAGTGTTAGCAAAAGTAACGCTAGGGATGAAGGAATGGATATCACTGACACCGTAGTGCAGAGAAAAGTTAAGAAGCGTAAAAGTGACTACCGTGAAATGAAAGATCCCAGCCGTAAAAGTGGACAGAACTGAAAAGTCTGGAGGTGGTTTGACAAGATGGATTAACGCTATTTTTACGGACATCAGCTAACACGCTAACACCAGCTAACACGTCAATACCCGCAACACCGAAAGAAAAGCCTCCACTCTATGTCGCAGCTCCAGATGTTGAGTTTGAGAGAAACTTCAATCAAATGCAAACATGTAGTGTTATGGTCTTATTCTGAACGTGTGTCTGTGGTTCTAAAGTCTTATTCTGAACGTGTGTCTGTGGTTCTAAAGTCTTATTCTGAACGTGTGTCTGTGGTTCTAAAGTCTTATTCTGAACGTGTGTCTGTGGTTCTAAAGTCTTATTCTGAACGTGTGTCTGTGGTTCTAAAGTCTTATTCTGAACGTGTGTCTGTGGTTCTAAAGTCTTATTCTGAACGTGTGTCTGTGGTTCTAAAGTCTTATTCTGAACGTGTGTCTGTGGTTCTAAAGTCTCTCTGCTTCTATAGTGAACACGGCTCCCCTGAATGGTACACCCTTAGATGGTTTGTTTCGTTTGTTGCATTGTGTTGTATTTTCTAGTTGGCATGCTTTATGAATGAAATTATTTGTTTTAACGTGAATACTGTCATTTTAAATGACCCCACGTGTGCCTGTGGTTCTTAAGTCTAAAACATGATGGTATGTGTCATAGCTATATCTTTTACTAAACGTAGTTAGAGTGAAACATGGATTCATGGTTCAATGACACTTGTTGTGCTTTCTGCTGAATACTGGGTTGAAACTTGTACACTTGGTTTTAGTTGGAGCTAAAGTTTCATGGAACTGGCGCTGGTGTCTTCTCTCAGTTTGTTTGGACCGTCGCCTTCTCTGAATAAGTCAAAGATCGTAGGGACTGCTGTTTACACTCTTCTTTTGTAACTTTCATTGCTGCATCCCGGGGCCATACAAAATACACCCATTTTAAGGTTTATTTGTGTCAAAGCGGCAGCAGGAGCAATGCCATAAACAGTAAAGCGGGAGCTGCGACCCCTACAAGTACGTCATCATTTTTCTGGCCAATCAGAGGCGTTGATATTAAAAAGTTATTTTACTGATTTATTACTTATCTATAACACAAAAACACATTGCAAAAGGTGGGAAATACATGTTTTTAATGTGTTTTATCAGATAATAAAAAAAAAAAAAAAAAAGGATTGTCCCCTTTTAAGTCGTATGCGTTACTCGTGAATGAATGAAGCGCAAATACGAGACGCATGCATCGCGCCATACGCCTTATAGTCTTTTTTTGTGCTCATGCACTTAGTTGTACTCACACCATAAACACGTAAACTGCAAGTGTGTCCACTTAAATAGTTCGGGTGAAACAAACGTTCCGGGGCTTGTGTGCACCGACGGCCAATGGCCAAAGGGACCTTACAATGGCCTCTATGGAGAGACACGCTTACGAAACAGATTTTAAGCTACACTATCGGTGACGCAGATGAGCATGGTATTAGCTATGATTAGGGATGTAAAAAACTATGAATTTCCATGACCGACCACCGTTTCATGTGGATTGACTGGAACCGCGTATTTGCGCGGATCCGTTGGGCTGCGTGACACAGAGGAGTGCGACAGACCGGTATGTGTACAATACATGCATGTGTGTGTGTATATGTATGTGTGTGTGTACAATACATGTATTTGTGTGTGTATTTGTATGTGTGTGTGTGTACAATACATGTATGTGTGTGTGTATATGTATGCGTCTGTAAATGTAAGCTCCAATGTAGTTCTGACCCGCGCCAGTGTGCAACTTTGGTGGTAACAGAGGGGAGAGATGATGCGTCTGGATGTTACGTATGGAGAGGGGGAAAGTGCGTGTGTTTACAGATACATTGCCGTACACAGCTAGATACAGACCCGCACGTCACACCGTACAAATAGGGCTTAAAATAGCGTTAAGAGACCTCCCCTCTCCCCCTTTTCTTTTTTTTAACCGACAGCTTTGACCGGTTAACGCTGTGACGGTCAACCACCGGTTAAAGGGTCACCGATTTACATCCCTAGCTATGATGCTAATAGCGTCGCAGCTGCAGAGCAGAGCAGTGGCAATTGTTTTGTATTTCATAATCCCTTCATTTTCATAACCAAGTTAAGTTTGTGTAAATGTTACTATTGAAATATGTTGAGTTGTTAAAGTTTATACTGGTAAATAAATTGAGTTATCTTTTACCTGATTGCTTTGTTTCACTTAAACATGGAGGTAAAAATATACATTCGTACTTCATTGTGCCTTTGTTTACGGGTAAACCAACATTAATTAATGCGCCATAAATGCATAATTTGATAGTGCGCCTTATAATCAAGTGCGCCTTATAATCAGGTACGCCTAATGGTGCGAAAGATACGGTACTAAGAACACCCCACAAATTGATGCATGATATTTGTTTTACTTTGCCGAATACTTCTGGACTGTGCCTCATGTATGAAGTGTTGGGGTCTCACTGATTTCAACACACTGTAATGTGATGTTATCTGAGTCACAGTCCAACCCCTTGCTATATTTCACTACGTCTGAGCCCAGAGAAACTCCGCGTCTCATATCTGACAGTGAATCGAGTCATAATCCGCTAAATAATATTGTGGATTGTTTTTGGGTACTATATGTGACAACATTACAGTGCAAACCTCTGCCTGGAGGCGCAGTTCCAGTGATTCCAGGGTCATGTCCTGTACCTGTGTGAGAGGCTGTGGTCGGCGCTCAATGGTGAACTCAGTGTGACAGAGCTCGCAGTAGCTGGTGTTGGAGGACGATAGCCACTTCTCCAGGCAGCTCTTGTGCACTTTGCCCAGAGTTCCGGTGCAGTCACAGGGGGACAGCAGAGTCTCCCCTCCAGCTCCCTCATGGCAGATCCGACACATGCCAACATCGCTGAAGGATGACAAAATGTACAAATGTATTTATACTATTCATACTATCAAGACATGTATAAGTTGTTTAGAATAAAAAAAGGACCACTAACAATTAAATACACTTTAATTATTCCTGCTAAAGCTGCATTCAGCGTTGTTCAACTGTTCAAACTAGTCTCTTGTCAAATCCATAACCGAATCTGGCAAACTACCCTGATAGATGGCTGTTATTGTTCTACGAGGCTTCCAATAAGACATTGGACCCCCTGTTCACTGGCAGTCACACACAACAATCATGGCCTGGACTGAGTCACTTTTGATCCACAGACCTAACTGTTACTCCTTCTCCTATTAGCCCCAATTAACAATTGTCAGAATAAACCACATCAATCATTTGTAAACAGTTTGTTTCATAAAGACTCTTTTGAATTACTATATTTAACAATTTTAGTAAACTTCCGTTCCTTATCAAATAAATAAATATATATATATATATATATATATTACACACACACACAAAATGGCAAGATATACATACAAACATTTTTTTATCATTCAAATAAAATATAGAAATATACCTCTGCAAACTGACGGCCTTGACTACAGTGGAAAGTGGGCGTCCATCCTTAGCAGTCACTTTGGCCACGTACTGAGCCTGGGTGGTGGAGTCTGACTCCTCGGAATCTTTGGAGGTTTCGGATTCTGCAGTCCCAGAGTAGTCACACAGTGATCCAGGCAGGTGACAGCAGCCTGACGAGGACATGGCTCTTCTCACAGTGACCAGCAACACGCCAAGTGGTTTCTCCAGGGGAAAGTCAGTGATTCGAAATATTCAACGTCACCCCTTTTCTGTGTGCCTACAGGACATTCAAACATATCAACATGACCAGAGGTGAAGTATTCGCACAGGCCGAACTGACTGAATTGTATTCACATAATTTAGGCCAGAGGGAGATTACATACACTCACGCAAAGCACAAGATTATAAGAACACATAATGTAAACATTATACTGACAAAAACAGGAAATGAACATTAATGGCTACCAACAGAAGGTGACTACTGTGCGTGATCGATGTATGTGTATACAGATTAACACGCTCGTCTCGCAATACAGAGAGGGATTCGAGTGTAAATGTAACGATGCGATGTGTCTTTCATGAGGAACCATTGAAGCAGACCTGGAGAGAGGCAGTGCAAGCCCATTTTCCATAAAGGAATCTGTGTCTACATGGACACTAGATATATTGTCCAAGATGGTATGACTGCCACATGTGGCTCGAGGCAAATAATGCGAATGACAAGTCGGGGATAGCCAAAATCAACTCACTCACGGCCTCCCTTTTTCTGGCGGCCTTGGCCTTGGCCTGTGTTATCCAGACGCTGCGATCCTCTGCCTACACAGCTCGAGCCGTGGAGGAGATACGGACGAGACCATCAGAGCCAGAACCACCCACACAAGTGTTCACTGCACACGGCCACTCGTCACAAGTCCTCCCCATGGCTCCCGGGCGTCTCCCACAGCTGCTTGTGTTGAGGAAAGCGATGGGATGGACTCTCCTGCAGGATTACTGCACAGCTAACAAGGCTAATGTGGCTAACAAGGGCCAGCATATCCATGGGGCCAGCCCACCGCAGCGTCTCAGCTGAGAGCCTGGTCACGTGACGAGCGGCTATTGGAAGCTGCACACAACTGCATTTCATGGCTTTGTGGTTGTACCACAGTCACGCATGAACCAATAATTTGATACGGCCTTGATCTGAAATGTCTATTGTGTGTTTGTATATAGTATAAGTTTAGGACATTCATTAGGAGATTCTGATTCAATACTTTCAGAGTGGTACATTTCAGAAATATTACACACACACAAAAATGTGTCAGTCAAAATGTTAATAGACTGACACCAAAAAACTATGCGGACCATCAAATGAGCTATAGAATATCATGAGATTAAAGAATTAATCTATGGCTAATGTGGTTGTCTCTCATTCGCACAATCCGCACTCTGCTTTACATTAGGTTTAATATTATTTTACCACAAGGGGGCGTTTATTCATAAGTGTTATTATAAGTATACATCCAGAGAGATCTCCCATAATTCATTAATTGAAAAAAGATCATACAGTTCATATATAACAAGTAAAGCACCCTATAAGATATATCGTTTGTGTATCTTATATTGTATTATGTATATATACATAATACAATATAAAGAAAACATGAAACAAGGTATCTTCCCAACAATTTAATGTCTTTAACCAAGAACATTGAAATGGGATTTGTTATTGGTCATTCTTGAATTATGGATGTGAAATTTCTGTTCACAGGAATTTCACATTCATAGGATGTGGATCTATTTTAGTACCATTGACTCTTTGAACCCAAACAGTGATAAAAGTGGCCACTCACTCAGCGAGTGATCTGACCCCAGATCAATACAAGGATAGGATACAGCTCGGCCAAAGTTCTCCAGGAGTCAAACTGAACTGGACTTTTTCATGTCAGAGTATCAGAAACGTAAACAGTAAGACAGTGGGACATGTTTGTCCCATCTATGTATACAATCTTTTTTTTTTTCTTGTGAGATCAGGAATAATGAATCAGGAATTCAACCAGGCTAAATTAAAAATATAGAATGTAAAACATTGTTTGGATTTATATTCAGACATTCAAATGTGTTTCATAGTTTACAATGGCTTGTTAAATAAAATGTTGGGCTCTCAAAAACTTTAACATTTTGTTTGTTTATGAATGCTTTCTTAATTCAATTTTTTTTAAAACATTTATCATGTGTGACTCATACATCTGATGTGTGTACACATTCAATATTGCACACATTCAGGTGCAATATTGATGATAAACTAAAGAATATGATCATAGAGAAATTCAACTATTTGATGCAGATGAAAACTTTGTGTGAGCTCGCAGTCGTACAGGAATTAGTCAAAACAAAGGAAGGTTTCTCACCCATCATCTGCACTTCAGTGAGCAGGTTTTCCCGAAGTACAAATTTGAGGTACAGATGATAGGTGAGAAATCTTCCTTTGTTTTTTGTTAGATGCAGATTTCTGTACTTATAGGTATCCTCCTTATGGTCAGACTGTGCTGGTCAGAGTAAGTGACGGGTGGATTTAACACAGTGAAAAATAAGTAAATGAATGCTGAATATTACTAAAATACATTTCATAAATTTCATATTTTAAATATTAGCCTGAATTTGAAAGGTGAGACACAATAGAAACTCTCTGATGTGACTGAATTTTTTTTTTGTGTTTTTTTTTTTTTTATATTTGTGAACATCCTACGTACCTGTTAGATCACAATTAAGGCTGTGCTTTCTGTCACAAGACTGGTAGTAACTCGGAACATTATGCTGAATGACCAAGTCATCCGCGTGACTTTTAACTCAACTCATACTACACAGCTGGCTGCTTCCACTTACAAAACAGCATGGATTCATTCAGTGTCCTCATTCAATTTAACAATTGCCACTTTAGTAAGTACTCAAAACTTACTGGCCTATGTCTCATAGTATCTTACCTTTTGATTTTATAAGATAAGATAGATTAACCTTTATCATTTATTTATTTGCCCTATATCTGGAGGACTTGTACCATTAGATCTGTCTGTTTATTTAACATAAATAATCTGAAAGGGTAAAGCTACAGTGCAGTTCAGTGTGTTCAAGGCAAGACTGTCCCAATTTACTGAAATCGTCACCTGATTTGAGAGGATACAACGATAGAACATTCAATCCAAGTCAAGGCGTTTACAGTTATTTTGTTTCTAAAGTACTGGGACATAATTCACTATTGACCATTGTTCAATTTTATTTTTATATCTCAGTCCTTCTCTGGATTAGCTAATATGAAAATGCTATTTAAAATTTAAAAAAAAGGGGGAAAAAAAGCCTAATTTAGACCCAGAAATGTCTGTTGATGGTCTAAAAATATTCTTGGGAGACAGGTACACTTATCCAATTTGTTTTTTAGCATTCTCACTCCAGGTTGTGTTGGTTGCTGTGGCTCATGGGCTTTGGTGGAGGTTTGGAGGTCTCTTCTGTAGATTCTTGGTAATGTCATGTTTGTGCAGATGGCTCTCTGCTCCTATAGTGAACACGGCTCCCTGAATGGTAGACCCTCAGATGGTTTGTTTCGTTTATTGCATTGTGTTGTATTTCTGTTTGGCATGCTTTATGAATGAAATTATTTGTTTTAACGTGAATACTGTTATTTAAATGACCCCACAGGTACAATACATTTTGTTGATTGATTGATTTCCTTTCAGCAATAAGAATATATATTTACAGATGTTCATGAGTTTCTATTTAAAGCACTTTGAGCCACATGTTTTGGATAAATGTGGATGTTGTCCTGAAGATAATGTAGGGCCGTTCTTGGTCCTTGTTAAAATGCCTATCCGTGGGCTTCAGATATTAATACTTAAAAGCCGTTAAGAACGAAAACATGTTGTGCGCGGGGGGGGTATCTTCAATGGTTGTCACCGAGAGAAAACCATAGACTGTAAACCAAGGCATTAATGGAGGCGAGTCACTGGCCATGTGAGCAGTGCATGCTCAGGGCGGGGGATGGTGACGTGTACGCGGCTGTAACCAATAGCAGGATCTGCCACAGCCTATCACTGTACAGTGCCATCTCTGTGCTGGATCTGTTTCGCTGCTTCGACGTGAAGAAGGGGGGCAAATGAAGTCGGTGTCGTAGATGCTTAATAAAACCTTTCGGTCGAGTCTGAGTTGGGGTTTGTACTTCATCGAGCAGATACCCGGCTGATCGCTAATCCTAACCGCACTCTCTGTAATAGCGGCGCGCTCTGTGGAAGTGGCAAGACCCAACCTAAAGCATCATCGGCAGTGTGACCATCTCACTGCGCATCCATTCTCTCAGAGGCAAAACGCAAATAATAACCCTTGCTTTTGCAGTCGTGACGCGCTCTGCCTGGCGGCGGAGCATGCTGGAGGATGAGCCAAAATGACACACTGGTTCATTTATTTGCTGGAGGGTATGTTGATCTATCGAACGATTGTATTGTTTATATTTTAGTCTCACAATAAAACCGGGAATGATATGCAAATTCCATGTGCATTGTGTGGCCCTAAAGTTGGTGTCGGTTGTCGTTACCTGGAAACGGCCTCTATCACCAGCTGTGAACAGGCTTCTTCCACGGACTGACGCACACTGACGTTAAGATACTCAATAATAACTGTTATTATTCAAATCGTGATACAATATTTTCTAGTAATAGACAGTATACATTGAATACGTGTTGTATATGTCGTTCATTTCACCTGCACGTGATTTCTAATGACAGTATCGACAGATCCCAGCGCTCTGTAACTAGCTATCACAGAGAGGCTAGCTAGCTTACCCAATGTTCACCCTGCTCCCACAACAAGCAGCTACACACATCCATTACACTACTCACTGCACATTTGTCTCTCCTTTATTCTCTCCTTGGCGCAGTTCTTTCTTATATTTCTTGTAGTTTTCTTTGGTCATGTAGTAGCATTGACATTTATACTCAAAACAGCTGCACTATCGGAAAGTAGGGCAAGGGTCACCACCGCTGCTTGCGAATGTAGGTCAGCCCACTGAAAGGTAAATATAGACAAGCTTTCGTACATCGTTATGTGCTGTAAATCCTACTGTTTGTATTCTGTTTGATTGTTATAATAATCAGGATTACAGACACAAGCAGTAGAAATAAGTTTCCTTTGCCGAGTAGCAAGATGTTGAGATAAAGTGAGGAGCTCTGTCACACAGGAGGAGCTTGGAGTAGAGCTGCTGCTTCTTAAGTCAAGAGGTGGTGAGGATTAGATAGCTGGTGGCTTTGGGATGCCTCCCTGGAGAGGTGTTCTGGATAAGGGACACACAGGTGGAACTATAGGCATTTTCACATGGGCCTGACTTTTGTAAGCCCAACTCGTCTCAGGGAGGGAGGAGTAGGGGGGTATTTTGCATTGACACATGAATAGAGATGGCCTTTCTGGGTAGGAATAACTGTGCTTGAAGACCCTGCCAGAGATTTATCAGACGAAGTGAGGTCTTACTCTTACTGTAGGCAGCAGTAACAACTATTAAAGTATAGTCAGTAACGCAGCAAAAAATGATGAAATGCAGCAAAATGCTCATCTGTACCTTTGTTCATCATTCAAACACAGAACCTGATGGTTCAATTACATAAACAGGCATGTGAATGGACATGTCTACAAAACATATTTTTCATCCAACAAAGAGCTTGCCTTAGTTGCCTCCGCACAGACCAGCTGAGCGTTGTGTCTACAGATTTTAGTGAAAGCAACACGCCTTTTTGAATCACTGAAATGAAATATTGTCTTCCCCATTTTCTATAGTAGTCTATAGTAAAAGGGAAAACAAGTATTGACAAACTTATTCTTACTTTTACTAGTGTTTTGATTTTTGACTTTAATCTATGTAACCTTTCTAGATGCGGTGGAACAGTTGGTGCAATCCTGACCTGTCCATTGGAGGTTGTGAAAACTCGTCTACAGTCCTCCTCCATCACACTATACGTTCCTGAAGTTCAACTCAGTACTGTCAATGGAGCCAGTGTGGCCCGCATGGCCCCTCCAGGACCAATCCATTGCCTCAAGTAAGAGTTAAATAGTTAATCGTTAATAGTCAAATAAGGCTATCCATCCATCCATCCATCCATCCATTTTCTACCCTTTAATCCATTTCTGGGTCAGGGGGGTGGCAGTCAGAGATGCCACCCAAGTCTCATAGCACCAGCCCCTCACTGACCCTCTGCAGGTGGTGAGTCCACAGGAGGACGGCTGCTCTCTGAGTGTGAGCATAGCCTTGATCTTTCAGTGGGGGCTTTGGGCAAAGTGGGGTTAAGTGTCTTGCCCAAGGACACAACGACAGCAGTCATCAGTGGGAGTCGGTGGAGAAGGTGCAGAGGTGGGAAATAAACAAAAACAAATAAGGCTAATTTATTGAAATTATATTGTTGAATATATTTTGTTATCGCTATTGTTGAATTTATGGTTTAAAGCCAATGTTATGAACTAATACATATTTGAAAGATTGTACACATAAGCTTGATGGAGTGGATCTGAATCCACTGAGAAATTATTTGATCTCCTGGGTCCTGAGTACCATCATATCTAAGACTCTGACTGGGTCTAAATGAAGACTCAAGTAGAAGTCAGACCTGCAAAGAAAACATGGTGACGGATGTGGGGATAATTAGCTTTGTCGATTGTATTATCAAGGCAAGTTTATTTGTATAGCACAATTCATACACAAGGCAACTCAAAGTGCTGAACAAAATAAGAAGGCATTAAAATCATAAATAATCAATACATTAAAAAGAAAGATACAAAATATAAAATCCCTCAGTTGTATGCACAGCTAAACAGGACTGGTTTTAAACATTGTCAGAGAGGAGGCCTGTCTCACATCTTCAGGAAGATTGTTCCAGATTTTAGCAGCATGAATCTGAAAAGCAGATTCAACACACACAAAAAATGTTATATTCAAGATGAATATGAATTATCTATTTTAAGAGTAAAACACATATTTTTCCCAGGTAAAATGTTTTCAGATAGTGGCACTGCATCTCTAAAGAAATGTTTAATAACACAAACCAGAGGATTGAAATTACTAATAGTGAAATTTAGCAAATAATTGACCTGCTTAGAAACAATGCTCCCCCTGTGAGCAAACACTCGCTGAAACGGTACACTGCAAATATTTAATACAGAGCTGAGAAGAGAGCGCCAAACAGAGAGAAACAACTCTTCTCTAACTCAAGGAGGTCAATATGTACTCTGCATATTCTCTTTGCGTTGTTGACGGGTGGTTTTGACAAAAAAGAAACATGTTAGCAGTGATAGACATTTCTCCTAATGATATTAAATAACAGTTCAAAATAATGTTATATTATATAACACCATTGCTGAATATTTTGACATTGAGACAATAGAAAAAAATACCATCTGCAATTCAGTCTGTTCTCTTCTTTTGCCATATTTTGAAGGACAGACAAGAAAGAGGAAAGGGGTTTAAGTGCGACACTAAAACATGATAACAAGGGATGTCATTATAATGTATGCTTTAATGCACACTTCTTCTGTAGGTTGATCCTGGAGCGAGAAGGGGCTCGTGCTCTCTTCAGAGGACTGGGACCCAATCTTGTGGGTGTGGCACCTTCCAGGTATGAGTTTGTTTGCTCTATGATCCCAAGTTGTAGACTAAAACTTATACATCATTTAATGAGCAGTGTTTTTGTTACTGCTCAAACCTTTTGATGGCTCTCAACTTTGCAGAGTTCCGAAGTTGACACCAAACAGAAAGAAACATTTCATGCAACTCGTGCCTCATGCATATATTACAGATATATTACAGAGGGTGCTCATCAGCTCACTACAAAGACAAAATAGTAGCCTTTCTCCAGTTATTAAGAACTGTAACATCCCCTACACACAAATACATATTAGTTTTAGAATAGCTCTTATTGGCAGTATACAAGAAATAATATTGCAAGAGTGTTTTTTAAATTAATTACATTAAAAGTCTTCTGTAAACACAGTTGGGCATCTCTGGCTTTAAAGTGTTGTAAACTGTTGTGTCCTTAAAGGAGACAAATCTGCCCAAAAGTGGTACTGCAACCTCTCCTTCTCTCCCTGACTCAGGATGCCCCAGATATGGAGACAAATCCAGCTGGGACCATAATATTTTTCACAAAGGTCCCAGTAGAATACCTGGTTTTATTCCTTGTTTTGTCATTAATGATTTGAGAACCATAACAAGCACTTTTTTTGTTCTGAGGCCACATTTACCAGTTAGATTAGCTCGTGGAGAGGGGAGTTTTGGCAAACCCGATCACGGACTTTCTGATTGGTAAAACAGTGGAGGGTGGGACATCGAACTGAAAATAATAACAATATTTAGGAGCTGTAAAACTATTTTTGAAATCAAAATTTCTCAGTTGAACTACTGTTATCAGTTAAAGAAGTTTTGGAAAAGGGCATGGTTTATTAATGCCTTTGGACAGATTAGGGCCATTTAATGATGACTTTGACATGAAAATCTTACATGTTGCTACTTTAAGCAGGACACACTAGAATGAGTCTGGTGTGCGCGCAAATGGTTGTTGGTGGTTGGACGGGTGGATGGTCCATACTGGTTGCATCGCTACCCTCAGTCTCCCAAGGGCATCTGTGGCTACAGTATTAATTTATCACCACTGTGTATGGAGTGAATGAATAATGAAATGTGAAGCATCTTTGAGTGTCCAAAAAAGTTATCTATAAAACCAATGGATTAATTAATTAACTCATTGTGTCCCATTGACGCACAAATACGTAAAAGCAAATAGTAACGTCGTGTGCCGTTGACGCATTAATACGTTTTTTTCCGCTATTTTCACGTTCCCAGATGTCTATTGTATCTAATATGTATGGGGATGACTTGAGACCATATTTTATCGAGCCAGCAGGTGGCAGCATTTCTCTCTGAATGGTTTGAAAACAGTTATGTGCACATGTTGTGCCTCTTTTTTCTCAACTTTCTGGTGATTTCAGTAAAACTTCCCTCTACTCGACGGAGGATTACAGGGGAACGAAAAAAGCTATAAACAAAATTCTTTTTGCTGAGGAAAGTAGACAGTCCATTCTTTTAGAATCTGGTGTCGGATTTCAGATAGTCATAGTACACAATATTCTGTGGGTCTTGAAAAATCAGTAAAAATCATCAGAAATGGCTGGCACTGTGGGAGTACCTGTTCTGAAATAGGCTGGCATTCAATGAGTTGTTAATATCATACAGTATATCTGCTTAAAATATCTTAACTCTTCTACAGGGCCATCTACTTTGCAGCGTATTCCACAGCTAAGGAGAAACTGAATGGAGTGTTGGAGCCAGACTCTACCCAGGTGCACATGGTGTCCGCTGGGATGGCAGGTAATGGCGACTCAAGTTTCTCCCATTCCATTGTATGTATGACTGAATGCAAGTTTCCTGACTGAACCACTATCGCTCTTGGCAAACTGGCTTACATTAGATTTTAAAAGATTGATTTTCTGTATAGGCTTTTGTTTTCCATTCATTTTTTTGTGAAGCCCCAAATCACAACACAGTCGTCTCACTGGACTTTGATGTGGATTTATCAATAGTCAGTAAAGACAATCAGATTTACTAAATAATTATTTGTAAAATGTTATTAGGCATTACATGGACAATTGAGATTTTTATTTTTTTTTTAATTCAAGCAAAGATTCCTATTACAAATAGACCCTGATAACCTGCTTATAGAAATATAGTTTAAGAAAGCACAATTTAACAGGGATCAGAGTGTTTTTAAATAGGAGAATTATAATAATATTTACATTATGATCCAAGTATTTGTGCATTTATTGCATAATTGTGTATTGCCCTTCAACAACCTTTGAATGAGTGTTAGTCCATTTTGCACAGGGAACATGGCAATCTGGACTTGTTTCTAATTTTACTAACACTGGACACACTTTGCGTGATAAGTTTCTGGTCCTTATGTTTAGGTTGTGCTTTCAGTTGCACTGAGCCCCTTGTCCTGATGTGTTCTTTTTGTTTTTGACCTCGTCTCTCATCTTTTTTCATTATATTCATCTTGAGACCTCTTTGGGGCCTCTGTTAATGGATTAACATCCCCGTTGTTACTTGAACAGTGTGGTGGGCCCCTTCTTTGCTCTGTGTGTACAGAGGAGAGAGCACGGCCATTGGTCAACCGGGGCCCCTGGCACTCGGGCGGACGCGTCAGGTAGCATCCCATTTCTTTCCACTGGTGATTTTTCATTTCATAGGAAGACTCGTATTGGTTTTATAACTATCATTGCTTATAGCAGTGTGCCTGCTGCTTGTTTGTAGTATTAGGTCTAGTCTTGTTAGGGCCTTTTGCACACCCTTTCCTCTTAGTTGTCTTGTGATATCAACAGTAAAGTAACCACATGTTAAGGAAATGCTAACCTTGTCATTGCCTTGTTGTAGTAAAGGATAAGGAAATAAAAATATTCTATTCATTCATTTGGCTGGTTTGTCTCCTATATTGTAAACCACGACTCGTTAAAGGACCTTTCTTCAAGGTTTTTCTCTAAACTATAAACTATAATGTCAGTGTAAAGATCTTTTACTGTTAAAGTGGTTTAAGTTACTTTAATTTGATATTCCTATATTGTACTTCTGACTATAACATTTCAGTTGTTAAAACATGCTTGTTACTTGTTCATTAATGTTAAGTTTAGCTCTTTGCCTTTAACCGCTCCATGTGCTTTGTGTCAATTGCACAAAACAAGGTTAGCATTTCTGAATAATTGTTTATCCATTTAACATCTTACTTAAAACATGAAGTTACTTCACTAATATATTATCTATAGAATGAAAGAGTTGTAATGCAGATCATTGAATTCCAATCTCCCTCTTTAGGTTAGCAACAGCAGAGAGTCTCAGTTGTAATAATGAAATGCTATGATTAAACTACTAGTTTCTTTTGGATGAGGCCTCAGTGTAGATAGATTATATTTGTTGCAGGGTGGGTGGGTCTTGGGAGTGGGTTAGATGTGACTGCTGTTGTGACTGTGGTACAGAAAAGCCTGTGTCTATTTTAGGGCTTTATTATAAAGCTTTCACCCCTACGTGATTGGGTGGGAGACCCCCGCCATCTGAGCCCCCCAAATCTGCAGGCTTCTAGCTGCAGCGGGGAGGAGCTGGAGGAGCTTTGCCCCTCCCCCGTGAGTACACGCCATAGTCGCTTCTTTGCCTTTTTCTCCTTTTCTCTCTGTCTCTTCTCCAGACCTGTGCTCCTCTTCTCACGCAGTAGTCCGCTCCTAAGGTTGTGTTGTCTACACAGATTTGCAGTGGCCTTAAATGTCTACAGGAAATTGTTGTTTCTTTATTATATTGTTTAAATTGCACATTTAAACTGAATTGCAATAGTAAAATATTACTATTGTGCTATAAATAGTATCAATTGTAATAATATAATTTTTGAATTTTAATTTACTAAGCAAATGTAAAAAAAAAAAAAAACACTACATAAGTGTGAATGATAAGTATTAATTTCCTATTTTTAATGCCCTCTATTGACCGTGATACATTACAGTCATATTATCTAGTGTTCTTCAAGCTGCAATAGACTTGAGACGTGGTAAACATTGTTCGCTAGATACCATTTGCTCTTTCTTGGTTGGTATGCTGACTATAAAACTTTTTTTAAAATGGTGAATTTGTACTCCTTTTATTTATATTTGTATATGTCTGACCCTCCTCATGGGTGCACTTACTCATACATTTTCATCCCCAGCTTTCATTGGGAAAGATTCCTTTGAAAAGTTTCAATACAATTATATGTATACAGTTAACTTATATTTGTTTGTACTTTTACTGATAGAACCATTATCCGTCCCACAATGGGGTCATTTTTCACGATAAACTGAGGTGTTTACGTTTTCTATTTATACATACAGTATATCTATTCATGTATTCATTTGAACAAAAAATAAATCTGATTTTGTGATTCAAATGCATTTTCAATGATCTGTCTGCAGTATTAAAATTGGTTTATATATTTATAGAACCTTTCCCATTGTTGTTCAGTAAATTAAACATGTGTAATTTATAACAATTTCTAACTTTTTATATTCTCCTCAAACTTTCAGGATTCACAGCAATTACAGCTACCAACCCCATCTGGCTCATCAAGACCCGTATGCAGCTGGATGCAAGGTGAGGATCCTACAAGAAAGGCTTTAGCTTTTACAAATGTCAATTATAAATGTCACAAATGTGAATATGCATACACAGAAACCGCGGGGAGCGGCGCTTGAATGCGTTGGAGTGCGTGCGGCGCGTGTACCAGATGGATGGGCTTAGAGGATTCTACAGAGGCATGTCAGCCTCATACGCTGGTATTTCAGAGACTGTGATTCACTTTGTCATTTATGAAACTATCAAACGGAAACTACAAGAGCACAAAGCTCAAACCAGCATGGACGAAGAGGAAGAGACTGTGAAAGATGCTTCAGACTTTGTTGGAATGATGCTTGCAGCAGCTACTTCCAAGACCTGTGCTACCAGTATAGCTTATCCTCATGGTAAGACTCTTCTAGAAAATACACACAAATATGTCAATATAATGTATTTGCTTGAACCTTCATTTCTCTTCCGGCAGAGGTTATACGCACAAGACTACGAGAAGAGGGCACCAAGTATCGCTCGTTCTTTCAGACTTTATTAACCGTTCCCAAGGAAGAAGGATATCGAGCACTGTATCGTGGCCTGACCACTCATCTGGTCCGACAAATTCCCAACACAGCCATTATGATGTGCACCTATGAAGTTGTGGTCTACCTGCTTAAGTGCTAGACAACCTAAAGAAGACCCAGGAAGTATTGAGCCCTTGTCTGAAGACCAAAGTCCTTGAAAATACTAGAGACAAAAAATCAATTATTATTATTTTTTGTAACAAAAAGTATAACATTTTGGCCCATTGTTTAGTTCATCATTATGAATATTTAGCACCATTTGATGATACTGGATCAGAGGTCACCATAGAAGAATGTTAGACTTGGGTTAAGAGACTGAGACTGGACTCCATGGAACCTTTAGAAACAAAAGCACACTTCATTTGCCTTTATAACTATATTAGAGATTACAATGCCGTCTTTCATCTGGGGCACTTGATAATGTGAATTGGAGATAGTTGGAAATACAAACACTTGACTTTTTTTTTGTAATCCCAGTATTTATTCATTATCAAACATCGGTCTGACTGAAGGTCACACAATAACAAATGTCACTTAAAAGTAAAACATTTGAATACATTATGCCTGAATAATGTAGTAAACTAACATTTTCTAAAAACAATTAGGCTATAATTTAACTTAATTTGAATATATTTCATATATGGTCTGTTACTAAAAATATACTTAACACGATTCAACTAATTATTTTTAATCTGTGGAACTTTTCCTGCACTCAGCTCTTTTAGACCAAATAGTCTGCTTTGCACATGATTGAGTAAAGATGAGGAAGGATACTATAGTAGACAATAGTTATTTAAGTACAAAAGCTCATGTGACGTCATCTAACTGTTTTTTTTTCTGCATGTGCAATAATTTAAGAGTTTTCAGTCCCCACTTATAATAACTTAAAAAAACACTGGTTTAGTGTGGAAGAGCTTTGTCAGCTCTCTCACTTTGCCAGTTCTCCTTTACTTCCAACTGACCTTAAAACATGCACTTTTGTGGCCTTCTGGGGCTTGTGCGTTGCTTTTTATGTGTGTGAACATTTATGAAAAAGTATTATTGTAAATTACAATTGTATTTTGTGGTACTTAACACAGATATATTGTGAAGGTTATCGTTCTTTGTAGCAGTGACAGGTCCAGATATGTATAGACAGAGATGTAGAATTTCATATCCTCATGCAGTTGCCAATTTCATGTCTGTCCCGCCCAGAAAAAAATATTAATCTAAAAACAATTTAGACATGTTCGTGTTTACATTTGTGTTTTGGAATAAAATGGTTGTTTTTTTTCCATCTGATTGTTTTCCTTTTGGAGACCAAATTAAATGTATACGTTGAGAATACTAAGAACACTATAAAATGGAAACAAAAACAAATGTTTATTCCAGGAGATATCTAACAATAATTTACCAGTACACAGCAGTCTGTACAAGGCATTTCATCTTTTATATTCTGTTTGATCAATTTTGTGTGTGTGAAGTTATTGAAATCTAAATCACCAAAAATCTGGGTACATTTCATCATAGACAAATAGTCTGTTTGAATTTTGAAGCGGAACTGAAATATTTTGTTCGTTGGTTTGATGGTTTTAATAAAAGAAAGCCAAAACAAAGGCCAACTCTTATTTTTATTTATTTTTTTACTGCAAATGTGTTCTCACCATAGACTCTAATTTACCCACAAAGCGGAAATGGTAATACCATGTTCTTGGTATAATTACGCATTTCAGACAGCAGATGGCGCTAAATGTTTAAAAGTGGAGTAAATTATTGAAGCGTTCAATCTATTTCTACTTTGTGCTTTAATGCGTCTACAATAGAGCTGATCAATGATGTAATGCTCCACCATTGTACTGATAAATTGATCAAACTGAAATATGGATATTTTGACAATTTGGAATAAAGGAGAAACCCCTTTCTGAATTTGTGTAAGCCCTCAGTCGTACAGGGATTAGTCAAAGCAAAGGAAGGTTTCTCACCCATCATCTGTACTTCTTAGCAAGTTTTCCCGACGTTTCGTCCTCAACCTGGGGACTTCTTCAGGAAGTCTTCTGAAGTCTTCTGAATGTTAAAAAATAACAAAATACATAGATCAATGCGCCAAATCAGCATAGGGTTACTCTTGGAGGTGCATTTTTTTGTCTCTGGCATATGGCACTTCTTAGAATAACACGCATACATTTAAAAAGGAATTATACTGTCACTTTTATTTGCTCTATTTTTATTTAATAAATCACTTGTGTCTGTGCCAACTGTTTAAAATGTGCAATATAAATAGGGATATCATTCAAATTTAACAGCTATACTTATAGAGCCGCGTCAACTGAGGGTAAGTGGAATTTGTTGATCTTCTAACAAAATACAGTCGAATATAACACAATAAATACTGGCTACGTGTTTCCATGTTAATATAATTTGTATGTATGAGATTGATCATTAAAAAAAACAGTTAATTTAAATTGTGAATCTTACCTTTTATGATTAACAGTTCATAAAACATCATCTTTTATGAACAACAGTTCATAAAAAAAGTTTTATCTGTAAATGTTGAGATTCAGCCATCAAATTCTGTGTTGTATAGACGGTGCATCACTTTTTCAGAGTCAAATTATTATAAATGTGTATGCATGTATATATGTTTGTATGTGTATGTATGTTGTATGTTTAATTATTGCAACAATGTTAATCATTACAGAGGAAAAATAACGCCAACAACAATTATGCATGCAAACGTAAACGCACCCCGGGCTCTGTAGCCAATCAGAGCGCAGCATGGTCCTACGTCACGGTCGCCTCCACCAATCACTGCGCACCCTGTGGAGTGAGCGGAGATGTCCTGCCTCGGTCCTCCGGCGGTCGAGCTGCTGTTTCCCGCAACAAAGAAGCAGAACCACCGCTGTCACATTTGTCACCACGCCGGGAATATATCTTGCTGTCATCTGCGGCCTGACAAAGCGTCCATCCCTGTGTCTGTCTCTGAACCCGGCGTTACAAAAAGTGTGCTTCGCGGACGAGTTTCTGCGGTAAGTGGTCCCTGTTTACAATGTACTTCTATGTTTTACACCGGATACAGCGATATACGCTCTTGAATCGCTGGCCCGCTTCGACTTTTTGTGTTAAATACACTCGAGTAGTGGGGCGTGTAAATGATAGAAAGTATTTTTACTTTTTGGTTTTTTTACCCTCTTTACGTGCGCGACACTGCTTACTGTTGTCAAAGTTCGTCCTCATAAACACTAATAATGGACACTGCGGAAACTTTTATATGATACAGTAGACAGAGATGGCTCCAAGAAAACGTGTTTTAATGTTTCAAGTGTTCAAGTCTTGTGTTTCTCTAGGCTCAAGGTTTTCTTTCTTGTGAATGTTGTGTCTATGGAGTTGATAGGAGGATATTTCTGTCTGCTCCTCTCCTGGTTCTGGGACGTGGGAAGGTGTTCGCCAGGTGCCAGTGTCTCCAGTGGACGAGTGGGCGGAGAAAGCCGCTTGAGTGATGATTTGTGAATAGGAGAATAGAGGGACTACGGGTGGTGGTGGTGGGGGGGGGGGGACTCTGTGGTTGGCATCATGTGACATACAACTAACTGGGTACTTTTTGTGCTGCAGGGACTTTGTGAAATCTGTCACCTATTTGCCAGCCTTTGTTGTGTTTAATCTAATCACATTTTTGAAATACACTGGGCTACAGATGGTGTGGAGTCATTTTGGCCATCACTAAAGCCGACAGCCACACAATCGGTGACTCAGTGTTGTTACATGGTAATTAATCAACTATTTGAGAAGGGGATTTCGATGTGGTTGTTCAATTTACTGGACCGAACGCTCCTGATCAGTGCTCTCTCACAAAGCCCAGTGTTCGTCATCCTTGTGCCATTCCGGCCATATCTTAAACAGATCATCAGCTTTCATAACATCAAGTATCAAGTGTCAGTGTTTGGTGAATTAGCTTTTTCCTGGCTTGAGCCCACTGCACATGTTGTGAATTGTCACAGGAAGTGGGTTGCAGCAGGAAGCAGTCTCAAAACATCTGAACATCTGAACCCTCAAATTAGACCAAATCAAGGCATAAGAGAGAGCTGCTAGGGAAAGCCCCATATCAGCCTCATAATATCATTAAACTCCATAATGGGAAAACAATATCATTTGAAAGATTCTGCTTGTGTAGCGACTCACTCATGGAGCTGGGATGATATTGGATTTGAAGCAATGCAGTGGTGGTGTGTAGCTACAGTATTATAGTGTGCTTATTATCACATGGCAATCCAATTACAAAACAATACAATTTACAATCTGTATAGCCCTAAATCACAACCAGCCAACACAGATTAGAGAATCCACAGTTAAGGCACAAAAATATAGAACACATGTTATTGGTCCTCAGGGAGAGACCCTTATCCATGAATGTTGATAAATGTCCATACATGTTGTAGAACTACCTAATGGGTCCATAGGCAGTAAGATGACCACTGACTAATAAGTAGAACATGCAAAATATGCATTGCGGTACGACAGCATTTAATAACATCCCTATTACAGAAAGGCATTTTTGATCCTAATTTACATACAGGACACATATCGGCATTCTAACTAGCTTGTTTTAGTAAATGTTAGTACATTTATCAGGGCCGCATAATAAAATGTATGTATGTTTGAGATTGTTATGTGGGTGACAGTGCAATGATGTGTTTTTATAATTAGGATATTGTTCAATTGAACAAAGCTCAAAGTGTGATGTTAAGGCGTCACTTTAATCTTCTTGTGTAGTTATGGTGCTCTGTGCTCAGTATTTATAATATTTTTATATTTATAATAATTGTTGTTATATAATTATATACATTTCTAAATATTAGGACTGTGTCAATTATATTATGTGTTTATTTGTGTGTTTATTTATTTGTTTTATTTTTAAGGTGTGGGAAGATAATCTCAATGTTGATAAAAAGCGATCTATATCGGCACCTAAATCAGTATCAATGCGAGCGACAGAACGGGTGTTTAACTGTCTTGGCTAGGTGCAAACATTTGTCTCTTAAAGAAAATTGTTTTTTTATCAGTTATTTTGAATTTAGATTGGAAAAATAGATTACTTTTTTTCAAGATCAGCCTCAATATGTTGTCACATCCAAGACCGTCTAAACCACTGTACTGTGGGACCGACTGCTAAGCCTACAGAACTATCAGGAGCGTCACTAAGTGTACCTTAAACCTCAAACCATAAACTCATAAACATGAGCAGCAGAGCAGCAAACCAATGATATGATGTGTGTCTTGCTCTTGACAGATGCTCAATATCCCAATACCGAACTAAAACACAAGCCCCGCTGTGTATGTGAGTAACCAGGCCACGACAACATCACTGTAACTGAAGTGATGCCTCTTCGCTGCAGATGGGCACATTCACCGCCTGGCTCTGTCAATAGCTGGCAGGAATACATTGACCCACTATGCATATTTCCCCCTCTGTGATTTCGCTGGCTCATCAGTTCAAAAGGCCCGGCTTGATTCTGCATGTCATGCTGCGTGCGATGTGTCAGTTTTAGAATTGATTTGCCGCGGGTGAGATGTTAATGTCTGTGGTGGTGGGGCGGGGGGTCCAGTCCAGACCCTCGGGGAAGAGACAGAAACTGGAGGTTATTAAAAAGGCAGAAAGACCTTGTGCTGTAGATAGCTCTCCACTAAATGTCTTCTATCATCTGTCTGACGCCTTCTCACAGAAACTTTCTTCCCTTGTGAATTGATTTACAAAGTAATTTGCATATAATTGACACCTCATCATTTCAGTCTCTGTATCATTGAGATTAGAAATAATCAACCAACATGTGTTTTGTTACTATTTTATGAATTACTCTTATACTGTTTAATTTACTCACCAGTATAGAGTATGATTTAATCTGTGATACAAAGATGATTAACAGCGTCACACAGGCATTTTAGCACAAAGCATCACTAGAGCATCACTAGAGCAAATCCAAAGCACAATTCTTTAATGGTTAAACTACTTCTAAGAACTAACCATGTTATAAGTAAGTAAGTAATGTTTATTTATATAGCACATTTTTACAGACCACGGTCACCCAAAGCGCTTTACAATTTTTCCAATTTCAGATATTGTTCCAATCACTCCATACACAGTGATGACAAAAGCAAGTCGCCGAACACACTGGCCCATCAAAGCCCCAATCAACATCAATTCACTCATTCATTCATTCATACCTATTGTGCATGTTTTTAGTCGTAGACACGGGGAGAACATGAAAGCTCCACTCAGAAAGGCCCTGTTACGACCGGGATTCGAACCCAGGACCTTCTGGCTGAGAAGCGAGAAGGTCCACTCAGCCACTGCGCTGAAAATAAGTGTTTTTCTTATAACATCTATTTAGACTGATTCATGTTCTTTTTAGGGCTGTGAAACAATAATTTTTTTTAATCGAGTTAATTGCAGCTTAAAAATGTATTATCGTAATTAATCGCATTGCTAACTATCGGCAAAATTATGCCATATTTTTCTGTAAATGGTGTTTGAATGGAAAGATAAATGACAACATAGTGTACACATGTACTGTATATGTTTTTTATAACGACAATAAATACACACAAAAGTGCATTGGCCTTAAGGCCAGAAGGTCGTGGGTTCAATTCCCACCTCTGCACCTTCTCCATCGACTCCCACTGATGACTGCTGTCGTTGTGTCCTTGGGCAAGACAAGGTTTTTTAATATATCTGAGTGTTTTATCTTTTTAATTCAGTGGTTTCAGCAAATAGCACTTAGTCCCGACTGAAACCCACTAGTAGCACAGAGGCTAACACAAGCTAACGAGGACATGGAAAGTGACAATGAAATTGGCTCAAACATGCACAATATTAGTCGCCTCACCTTGGAGCTCCGTGAGAGCGACCGTGCCACCATTGCAGATCTACGAAAAGAAGTCCTTCGTCTCACCGCAGAGTTGAATGAGAAACAATCTCTAGTATCCAAACTTTTTGAAGTCGCTGGTGGGCAGCACTCACGGCTGATGTCACTGAGCGCTGCATATTGTGACACTGTCGTGTGGGAGAGATCCGTCAGCTCCGGACCCTCCTGTTCTACACCTAAGCGCCCGCTTCCGAATAACGAGCCCGCGGATTCCGAGGAGCCATCCTGCGCCGTGGCCCATGTCCTGAGTCTGGCAAACCGCTATGCAGCCCTCTCCACCGACATCCCGGCCCCCTCAGCAGAATCCCTGGACACTGCAGCGTACTCTACTGCTCGAGGATCCAAGTCCACTACGAGGAAAACGCTCCTAAAGGAAGCAGTCCTCAGGCGAAAGAGCGGTCCACCAGCCATGTTGGCCTGTTCCCCTTCTTTGACCCCAGTGCAGCAGCCTCAGACTGGGGTAGCGAGCCATCATCACCACCGCTCACCTCCACCGGGTCAGCAGCAGCGCCCAGAGCCAGCCCCTCTCACCGCTCCAGCGTCCCCGAGCACACAGCGTGGGTCGCCTGTAGCTGAGAGTCAGCACCCCCGCTCCTCCTCTCCATGTGTTCAGCGGCGCTCAGGCTCGGGTCCTGCTTCGGGTGAACCCGCTGGTTCCGTCCACCGAGCTCCTTCTCCGAGGCCACTCTTCGCCCCGACCACTCTGATTATTGGAGATTCCATCGTGAGACACGTCCGCTTCTTTAACGCGGTCACTCGCTGTATTCCCGGAGCTACTGTACCAGACCTGCTCATACGTCTCCCTCCTCTGCTTCAGTCCCTGCCTGATACCGTTTCCAAGGTAGTCGTGCATGTGGGAATTAACGACATGAAACTTCAGCAGTCAGAAGTCACGAAGAAACATTTTATGGATCTGTTCCACCTCCTTCAATCCTCCGGACTATCTGTTTTTATTTCTGGTCCAATCCAGACTGTAAACAGAGGTGACTGCCTCTACAGTCGTGTTGTGGCGCTGCATGTGTGGCTTCAGGCTACATGCAGCTCTTTTAACTTTGTCTTTGTGAATAACTTTGCCCTTTTCTGGAAACGTTACGAAGCCTATCGTCCAG